AGACCATGGATACAGGTACATGCATAATATGTAAATAAATAAATAAATAAAAAATACATAAATAAATAAATATTATATATAATTATATATATACATGTCTGTGTGTAATAATATATATATATATATACGTATATGTACGAAGTTTCAAGTGCCCTGAAATTAACACAACAAGTCCTGGCCCCTTCACAACTGCTTCCAAAACCAAAACACGAAACTCCCCATGTCACCTGGGCAGCAAATGTCAGTTGACATGCATGCTATTGGAAAATCTAAATGCTGAAAATGCATGGGGTTGAATGCTGTTTTGCAATGTATACATATATTTAGTTATATTATATACATGTACATGCACGCACACACCCATGTATATATATATATAGAAAACGATAATCCAACTTTTTTTTTTTTGTCAAACGGCCTTGACCATGTTTTTTTGGTCATTACGGCTTTGATCATCTGGAACCACTTGTGTGAGAGTTGCTACGCTTTTTTTACAGTTTTTTTCAACAAAATGTCGAAACATACGATTTTGCTACGGGTAGGATTGCTATGTTGTTTTGATTTGACCCTTTTTTTGGTCATTACGGGTAAAAACCATATTTTGCCAAAAAACGGTTCATTACAGTTTTTCCCAATAATGACCAGAACATTTTTGTGTTTTTGGCACACACATATATATTATTATTTGCTTCTGTTTGCGTATAATATAAATATAAATATATATATATATATATAAATGTGTGTGTATGTATATGTGTATATATATATAATAACTAGTAATGTCATCACATGTCATGATTCATGATGTGCCAGGTCCAGGTGAAGCCGGCACCAAGGGAGAGCGCGCCCGGCTGGTTGGAACCCCGGCCCATTCCTAGAGGAAATGTATTGTCTAATATGGGTACAACAATAACCCACCCATTTGGGAATGGTTTATACCACCTATTTTATGGTGATGTGGGGGATGGTGTGTTATTGTTTTACCCGCATTTTTTTTTTGGTGGGGATCCATTGATTCCACTGGTCCAGCATCCTTTTCAGATCGAATTACTCCTGTGGACAGAAAGCGTGCCCCACGGCACTCGAGGCGCGAATGCTCATGGGTACTGTTAAGTCCTGCACTCGCGCCGGAGGTGCTACGGTGAATGTGTCCTGGCATGGAGCATATGGCAAAAAACCATGTGCAGTATGTGAATTTGTGATATTTAGCACATCGAAATTGAAAGATGTCAGCATCAAATATTATATAAATTATCGACAAGGCGGAATACTTGTTTATAATTAATTCTTCTAGCGCCCTTTTGTACACGAGTTGAACTTGGCCTCAAGTTTGGACCGTTGTTTAACAACAAAGATAAGATGAAATAAAATACTTGCGATATCTTGCGATTCGACTTCTGCCTGAGGTTCAGGATACCTTTCTTCTGAAAGGTGTCAATGTGTCGCTGGTCTCGGGACCGGATTTGGTCAAGCTGGAGCAGGTGGAGGTGCAGATTCAAATGTGGAATCATAATTAGATTAAATGGACAATTGATATATAGTATATATACATGATATATTCAATATTACAGTATCAGTATATGTGTACATTTGTCTATGTAGATATAGATGTATATGTATGTGCAATTGTATGCATATATTATATATATAATATATTGAAAAACAATATTATAGATCTACACTGCAATATATGGCGACATAAGGACGTAAGGACATCGATTCGCGTTCCTACTTCTCAGTGAATGGACCACCATATTCCCAATCAACTTTCAGGCAGACTTCCAGCTATGGCTAGTTCTGAGCCCAACAAAAATTATGTCAAGGGTTCATCTAATGGCTCAAGAATTCTCCCAAAACATGGGGCATGGATTCAATCGAAATTCAATCGATTCTAGCTACAGCATGTCATCCATGCCATGGCCAAGGCTGAACCCTGGGGAACATGATGGCCTAGCAGCTGCTGTGAGATGCCCAGCATAGCCGGTTTTTATGGTGGGGGCTGGGCATCAAGATGCTGAACCCCGAGGTTCAGGAGGCATTGGCCAGCCGACTACCTTCTGGTTGGCCATGGTGGCTTAGTCGCTTGGAGAATTTCAGAGACTGATGTGCTGGCGCGGTGCCATTTGTAAGGCCATGTAAGGCCCTTTCGCCTATCTTGCTAGTAGTCTGGCATATGTATTTATCTATGTATGTTTCATTTCCATTCATGGGATAAGAATCCCAAATCACCCCATCATATGGTTGGGGCTGGGAAGGCTCAACCACCAATCAGTGGATTACTGTGGCTTAATATTCTAGATTTATCCAACATATATAGGTTATGTCCCCATGATATCCCAGACGCAAGTTTGAACACTGATTCCCAGCATGGGTTTAGGGGAACATTTGCAGAAACCCCATATTTTTATAGGAGCAACCTTGGTTTCCTGTAGATTTATCCTTAAACCCGCTGAATGACTAGTCACTTTATGGCTTGAACTCAGGCTTGGACTGGCCAGTGTATCTTCTTGCCTGGTTGAGTGGCGTACCCACGGCCCCTTGGTAGCAGCTGGTGGAGAAACAGCAGTCTCCCAGTCGATGTGTTGGTTTGTCGCCTTGAGCTGCACGTGTCGTTGGCAATGACTGCATGTGTGTGTGTGTGACAACTCCCGGGTGTGCCAAGGGGAAGTCAGTGCACATGGCGCACTCCATGGTGTCAGTGAATGTTCGGCCCCACTACCCCAAAGTGGACGTGGGGCACTTGGATTTTGGCCAGACACCTGGGTGTGGACGGGATTTACCATAGATTTACCCATTTAAGTTGGAAAATGATGATAATCGATAGGGTTTGGGGTACCCAATTTTGAGACCACCCATGGTTCATGGAGTCACCCGATGGTGGGGTACCAATGAAAAGATTGGATTCTTTGATGAATCTGACAGGCACAGGTTTCGAGGTGCAGGCATGTGCAGGCCATGTTTGAGGTTAATGCAAAAAATGAAGGCATTTCAGTCTTGCAACTTGTCATATCCAGCGCATGTATAGGAAGGTACCCTGTTTGCTTTTTCCATGCTACTGCCCGCTTGGTTTTGGCAGCCCTTCTTTGAAGTATCTTAAACTGAAACATACGCGGAACATACAGGGAACATCGTTGAGCGCGATATGTCCACACATAATTATTATACATGTACTGTATATATCAATATCTATATTAGCTCACGTATGTGTATATATAATTATACAAATATGCACATTTATGTGTGTGTAAAATATGTCTGTGTCATATCCATACGTATATACACATACATATACCATCTGGTTATTTAACATAGCCATGGAAAATCAACATTTTGAATAGGTAAACCATCTATAAATGGGCCATTTTCCATGGCTATGTTAAATAACCAAACGGTAAAATATAAAGTGTTATTTTAGAGACCTCTCTCCATCTGCCAGCTCCAGGTTTGGTCCCGCGCTGGCGGCGCTGATGTGGCCATGCCGGAAGGGCAGGGAACGGTGGCCTTCGTCCCCGAGGACTTGCCCGGTGGGTCAGGTGCCCCAGTCGTCAGCAAGTCCTTGGATTTTTTTTTGGAATCCTTAGATAGGTTGAAAACGGTTGAAACATGTGATTGGACAAAAATCTGACATTGAATATATTGAAAAATGTGATTGGAACTTAAGGAACATTAATATTTATACATTAATTCATTAATTGCAGAGGTGGTGACTGACTTTGTCATCACTTCAATGTTACAAGCCCTTGGCACCGCTGCCCAGGGCTTGTCAAGGATGCACCGTGAGGAACTTACAAGTCCTAGCAGCCTGGGATCCCAGCCACTTACAGCTGGTCGAAAAAAATTGAGACCACTGGGCCACTGGGACAGATAATCATCATTTTCCAGATTTTTTCCAGTATACACAGGTATACTATACCAATTAAATCCCATTAAATCCCATTAAATCCCATTAAATCCCATTAAATCCCATTAAATCCCATTAAATCCCATTAAATCCCATTAAATCCCATTAAATCCCATTAAATCCCATTAAATCCCATTAAATCCCAATTAAATCCCATTAAATCCCATTAAATCCCATTAAATCCCATTAAATCCCATTAAATCCCAATTAAATCCCATTAAATCCCATTAAATCCCAATTAAATCCCAATTAAATCCCATTAAATCCCATTAAATCCCATTAAATCCCATTAAATCCCATTAAGTCCCATTAAATCCCAATTAAATCCCATTAAATCCCATTAAATCCAATTAAATCCCAATTAAATCCCATTAAATCCCATTAAATCCCATTAAATCCCATTAAATCCCATTAAATCCCATTAAATCCCAATTAAATCCCATTAAATCCCATTAAATCCCATTAAATCCCATTAAATCCCATTAAATCCCATTAAATCCCATTAAATCCCAAGAAATTGTCCTTTTTTCTCATCCCTAAGTTTTACAAAGAGCCGGATGTTGATCTCCCCCCTTTTAGGTGCATCCCGCTATTGGAGCCGAAGAGGTTGATCCAGAAGGACATCTGGTTAAGGGGTTGGTCACGTTAAATGTCACGTTGATTTAAATGGCTCATGAAGATGCATGAAATATCATGAAATCACGTGTATTCAAAATTCAAATATATTCAAATGTTCAACATGTTGCTCCAGTGCTGAATCGGGATCGATTCAAGTAGAATGAGCAACACAGAGTGTAGAATCTCGGGTTTCTTCTCTGAGTGTAGGTGTGTGGTGGATCGCAACAGGACGCCACTGTTGCAACACGCTTTGTTCATCTTTGTTCTCCTTCTGGCTCAGATGGAAGACCTTGAGATCGAATGGGTTGGCCATGGTTGGCCAAATCTGGAGCTTTTATGAACTATCGTTCATGGTCATTAGCCTAGTGCTTTAAGATATTGCACGATGCCAAGTTCTGTGGTAGTTTAGGGACAGTGATATAATCCTGAAAATCACTATGTGCTATCACAGTCTGAACATCCGGATTCGGAGCTTCACACCATGCTGCGCCACCGTGCTTGGCAAATGGGCAAATACGCCGTGGTGGGATCTGCCCTCGCCGTGACGGGGGCATGGGCCAAGCCCCAAAGTCACCTTTGGTGTCATGATGCCCAACGCAGGAGTCCCCGCAGCCTGACTACACCATCATAATACCACCGTTGAAGCTGAGGAATCCGAGTGCGAGATCGAAGTAACTAAACTCTACTGTATGGATTGTGCGTCATGCTGGGAAGATTCTTGGTATATACTTGTTTCTTGGGCACAAATCCCTGCATGATCCTGTACGCATGCAGTTTCCCTACAGCACCATCATAGAAGCATTGACATGCATTTTCCCAGCCAATTGTTTTGCCCAGCCTTCCGGTGGTGACCGGGGGCACCACTACATCCACAGTCGTGCAGGAAACTCACAGTGGCAGAACTGATGGCTTTGAAGGGCAAGCGGCAGATTGTGTTGACCACTGCCTTTGACGAGTGGACGGCCAGGGCTGCAGAGGAGGCTGTGGGATGATGGTCACCATCGTTCGCAAATGCCTGAGCTGGGTAATGGCCTTATACCATCTTATACCAGGTCTTATACCAGGTCTTATGCCATCTTATACCATCTTATACCAACTTATACCATCTTATACCATCTTATCATTCTGTTGGAACTGTGGTTGCTAGAATCCTAGAAGTTAAAGTAGGCAAGTGCGTTGATTTGAAACTTTGGATTGACGTGTATTTCAAAAAAATGTCTTGCGTTGTGGGCCAAGTAAACCGCTTGCAACTCCCAAAAATATGAGCTGAGCCTCGAAATCCCCACCAAAAATGAGCAACATTCTTATCCTATACTTGTACTTGGCCAACATGAAAGGTCTTAAGGTTTCTTATCTTCCTAGGAGTTGCCTCTTTCTTGTGCAATATTTATTATTTGGGATCAGTGGACCAGCCTTGATCCCCAGGCGGGCGTGGACATGATCGTGGCCTGGGGCAGTTGTCAAGAGCACAGCAAATTCGTGGTGCAGGCGGTACGTCGCGGGGCGCCCAATACGTTGATCGGCACGGGGATCAATCCCGGAGCCTATGAAGCTCGGCTGGGACTGGCGGGTTGGGACTGGCGGCTTGGTGGTGACGAAGCGTATGAAGCATCCATTCATCATGGCCCATAGGATCCATGTATGCTATATATGGTAACATTGGGGGTATATTGATGGTACATGTTACCATATATACCATACATGGATCCTATGGGTGATGTTTAGTTATTGTGCGATATCTCTTTTTGTTCAGCCCAATTGTATCCAATTGTTTGTTGATGCTTGGTGATTGTTGGCCTTCCTTTGGGGCCACGATTTGATAAGCCGGAATATGCTGGAATGGGTATGGGCGAGTATCGTCCGGACACAAGGAGTCACAGATGATGGGGAGGCAACCAACCGATTTTGATCCACGCTCATATCCCAATGTAGAACAATGAACTGCAGGTCATGAGCTGATCAAGCTACTCCATGATCAGTGGATATTTTCAATGATTTTCAGCCAATACGCTTATTATCGGTGAGTACCCTCGTCGAGGACTTACTAACTCGGCATACTGGGACTGCACCCAAGTGGTACGGTGTCATTCCTGCTGTGAACTCACATTACATAACCTATTGCTGGTGGCTGGTTGGCAGGAAAGCCAAGAGAATGCCTTGAAACTCGCCAATGAAATGCGGGCTGCTGGTACGGACATCATTTATTGCTCCGGCCTAGTTCCTGAAAAGTTTGCCGGATTGGCGCGGCATCTTGGCTGAATCCTTGATGATGTTTGAAGAGTATTTAGGTTGGCCTTCTGTCATGGAGTTCCAGTGTGTTTCCCTATATCAACAATGGTTGGCATGCTGTCCTTCAACGAAGCGCCCAAGACTGGGACTGCCACGTCTTTACAATACAATTCATCAGATTTCCATGGATGTCCCATGATGTCCCGGGGTGCCGGTGCCCATCAAAAACTTGCTCAGGCAGCATTTCCCATGTTGCGGCCATGTGGGCTACCTGCCGGTGAACAACACCTGGTTCGGTGGCCCCCGCGGTGTCGGCAAGACGGGCCTGGAGGCCAAGCAGGTCTTCGACGACGTCATGGCCCTGGAGGCCGCCGGTTGCATCGCGGTGGAGATGGAGTGTGTCCCTGCCCGGGTGGCAGCGGAGATCACTCAGCGAACCAAGATGCTGGTGTTTTCCATGGGATCCTTGGCACGGTGGCCGCCTTTGAAACAAACAAAAGTGTATATATATATATAACACATTATATACAATACATACGTGTATTTCTATATATATATATATCGATATATAGCATTTAAATTAGCACATCATCTTACAAAAAAAATGGTTGGGTCCCTTGGTAAAAGAGTCCGGCTGGAGACAGTTTTCCACATGGGATGGATCCCAGGTAGCGGTCCTCATTGCGATGGGCAGTTTATCTTTTCGGAGGATTTGATGGGCACCAACCTGGGTCGTTATCCTCGGCACTCCATCACCTATGTCTCCTGGCCAAAGTTGGGAGGTTTGGTGGATGAACGGAAGAAAATTGATACAGAAACGGGAGCGGAGCTGCAATTTGATTATAGACTGAAAGTGTTTTTAAGGCTCGCATTTTGTTTGGCTATGGCTATATTCTTCAAGCTATTTCAAGCTGTTAATTTTGTGAATCTTCCTGGTTGCTCTGATGCTGTAGTTCACTCACAGATTTTAGTCCAGGCCAATGTCATGGCCGATGCAGTGGGCGCGTTAAAGCAATTCTGCCGGGATGTTGCCAGCGGTGCATACCCCGAGGCTGGAGGGTTTGTCAAGCATGTTAGCCCATTTTCTGGGTTTTCTGGGATGGTGAGAGCAAAAGTCCACTGACCCTTGTATTGAATCCTGTGACTTGTGTACTGTAATTACTCGTGCAAATATGAAGAACGTTTGAAGCCAGCAACACCATCGACACTTGGACTCCATCCAACTGGAATTTGGAAGGCAAAGCATTGCATCAAGATCAAAGATGACGAGTTTGCAGCTTTCCTGAGAAGCATCTCTTGAGCAGCTTGGGACCTTTTGCATATCCCGTGCTTGAATATGTTTGACCGTGATAAATGATATGGTTAGATGGCTGGCGGCCAATGGTTTTTGCCAAGGCCAATTTCACTAGCCATGGTTTTTGGCAGGGTTTGAAGCCACCATTGCTTAAGTCATGACCGGAAACTACGACGGTTCAGTTTCCGGGGAGACCATTCAGCACTAAAAAGACTCAGTACCATTGGTTCCATGATCATGCTCGTGTCCAAAATGCATCACTGACTTTTTGGATTTTTTGGGTAGTCTCCTTTTCTCCAAGTTTTCTACTACGCTATATATAGTGTGTATTTCAAGTGGCTTTTGCAGTGTTAGCAGTGCGAGGAGTGATTCGGATCTTCTTCGACAGCGTAGTGGTGGTGGACAACCCCAATGCACTCATCAGGATCTATCCTAAGGTCTTGGAGTCTGTCTGCAAGGATGCCGAGGCATCTGACGGGAGAGCTTACCGGGTTAGCCCTCGGGGGCTGGTTGCAGGAATGAAGCTAGAGAATGTTACAATGTTGGGTGGAAATGTTTCAATATCATCTGACAATTCCACAGAGCTAAAATATCTATACTAAATATATGATATTCTATGATTATCTATGTCCACGAAAGGAGTTGTGCTCGAAGTCATAATCATATTAGGCATACAGATGCATGCAGGCTATTGCGCATCGTTTCAGATCGTTGCTTTGATGTGCTTCAAAGGTCATGGTGATGATGCATAAGAAATCTTCATGATCCCTGACAAAGACAAATCATGACAGCACGGATCCTGAAGAAAAAAAACCTGATGGACCTGTCATGGTTTTTTATGGCCAGCCACATTTCTCCGGTCCCATGGTTTTCCCCATGGTTTTCCCGTGCAGGCCAATCCACATGTCTACTATCCCTGGGATACGGGCACCGGTGATGTGGAGGCCTGGATTTTCGACCACAGCTACCGCTGAGAACAGGATAAACTTTACGCATCTCATAGCGAATCATCAAATTTGCCATCATTTTCCCAAAAATGTTCTCCTAAAAATGACAGAACCTGACCCATAAAATCCATGTAAATCCCCCACATACCCTCTGGTTCATGACCCATTTGTAGATTGTTTAACTATACCCTCTGGTTATTTAACATAGCCATGGAAAATGGCCTATTTATAGATGGATTACCTATTAAAAATGGTGATTTTCCATGGAAACATATTAAATAACCAGAGGGTATTTCCGAAAAACTCTCTGGGTTTCATTTGGATCATCGTGGATCTGAGGTGGCCACCAATCATCGGGTTGCAACGAGGCCAGGCGGCCAGGGCATTGCGAATGCCCTGGGTGGTTTCAATGGAGATCCCCAAGTCACCATGGATCACCATGGGTTTCAATGCTCAAATGATCCAATGACTTGGATATACTTGGATGATTTATGATGATTTGGGGTACGCCCCATTTTTTTTTTGGGAAAGCTCCTAATATCAGGAATATAAAACCAGGGCAAAGAAACAGTCGACTAGGCAGCCCATGCCATCTCCACAAAGTGTGTGAACATCACAAAGGATGTTTTGAAATGTTTTGTTCACATGGTAACGTTTCAATCTTTAGTCCTTTTTACTTTTTCAGTAGTAGCCGAGGCCAGTTGGCAGGGATTCAAGGGATAAAGTTTGGCCGTTGCTGGCTGCCAGGATGGCTCCCGGCATTCCAGTGCGTGCGGTGTGTCAAGTTCATCGTGTGTCTGATTCTCTGGTCAAGGCTGGGCAAAGTGACAGGTCCTGCAAACACTGAGACGGTAGAGTTTTGCTTCTGGTACCCTCCAGTGAACTAAGATAGCTATGGGACATGGATGAAAATGGATGAACATGGCCCATCTATATATTATGAATTATGATTATTTACCAATTAAAAAGGGCGAATTTCGACAGCTACATCAAATTACCAGAGGGCATATGTTATGGGGATTGGTCAAAAGCTATGATACCAATAATCTTGGGATTATTTGGGAGGATGAGCATCCACTTCCCAGCTATTTTGCTGTTCACTGGGCGGGTTTTGATTCATAGCTGAATCGGGAGGGTCTGTCCATGTAGACCCCATTTGGCAGGGTAACTGAAAATCTCTAAGGTGACTTTCCTGTTGGATGCCTCAATTTTGGGCTCCATGTGGCTCATCTAGGGGGCGTCCCCATGCTATCCGAATGGGCTTTGTTCTCACCTTTTTTTTCTCCTATTGCAGCACCCAAACAATTTTGGTTTCATCATGTTGCATCCAACATTGACCAAACCAGTGCTGACACCTGCTTGCAAATCGCAGGCGTCGGCTCAAATGGCTGGCCGGTGGTTCCATAGGTTGCCATGGTCCCTGTTTCATTGTTCCCAGCACTGGTCACTGGTCACCTGCACCTCTTTATGATGAACTGCTCAATAGAGTATCACTGCAAAGCCAGGCTTTGACAGAACTCAAAAAAATCAAATCCGCAACCTTTGCAAAACATTATATCATGTTGATGATTTGCTTTGTTTTTTGTCCGTGTGTTACTCCCTGTACGGCTGTTCTGCCATCCCTGGTGCGCTGCCCCTGTGACGTCTTCAGCGCGCCCAAATAGTCATGCTTCTGGACAGCAACATCAGCTAAAAAAAGGTTGAGCAGCTTCATGAGTGAGTTGTTTCATGTTGTTTCAACATGCAACACAGGATCAGTAAGTCACCGTAAGTCACCTGCCCCATTCCGATAAAACCGGGTACTTTTTTAGGTGTCAGGCTACATTTGCTCGCAAATGTTGGCCATCATTGAATTCTCCAACCGGCTAAAAACCCCACGGTCATGACCAGGGGTAGCTGCAACAGTTCTGCCTTTACAGTAAAGTCCAGTATATTCAGTATATAAATCGATGCAAACCGGATGGACAATCATGGAATATTTCCACAAGTTTGCTCTGCAGTATTTTGGACGAATGAGAAAATTGTACTCAAACGTAGGCTTGTTGCGTGAAATACTGTGAAATATTCATACGATATCACACGATGAATTTATGCAGATCATTCATATGTCATCATACATGCATAGTACTCATATTACACAAACAGTTGTTTTTTAAACATTTCTAAACATCATTATGTAAAGCTAACCAGCTACCGCATCTTTTTTGAGGCTGCATCCCGCCTTTGCCGACGCCTTCTACAGCAAGCCCGGTGGACTGGAAGCGGTGCCATATGTCGAAGAACTCACCCGCTTCCACGTGTTTTGCCCCTCGGTAGACGTGACGACCGTTTTTGGACCGTTTTTGGTGCCTACTTTTTTCTTGGGGATCTCCCTGCCAGCCATACTTACCGGATGGTACATTAATATGTTACATATATGGCTATGGATCAATACCTATGAAAATACCATTTTTAGTGGGATGAACATCCATAAATCCCAGCTATTTTGATGTGAACAGAAGGGGTACAAGGTTTTGACACACTGCCACATGTTGTCAAATTGCCACAAATGTGGCGAAAATATGAGATTTTCAGCCAGTGGATCCACTGGGTGTTCCCATATTTTTCGGACAAACCCTTAAATAGTACAGTACTTTCCGCAAAAAATAGAGGGCACTCCAAAAATCCAACGGTTTTTGCTCTTCTGAACTCCTAATATAGAGAAGCCGAAGTAGAGATTTTTGTTTCTCTTCATTTTCCGAAAATTATGGGACAACTTCCTGAATCCTTTTTTTTTTTGGTATGTTGCTATCACCTTTTTTCCATTAAACTGGCAATGGCCTGCCCTGTGAGGCGACGGCATCTACGCCGATTCCCAGGAGAAGCCCTCAGCGGCCCGTGCCCGGCGCGAACGTCGCAAGCGGCAGGGCACAGTGCAAACGCCCATTGTGCCCGACATCGTGGAGGACCCGAAGCAGTGGGGATGGGAGGGGTGGGCGGTGGGGACGGGGATTGGAGGATCTTAATGGATTTCTCAAGGGACTTGAAAGGGAAAGCATTTCATGGATATATGATGATATATGGATTTTAAGGCATTAGAGATGTTTGACCGCATTGGCAAGGGGGGGTAATTCTTCAGTTGTAGCGGTTCTATTTGGAATGGTAGTTACTTGATCACCATTTCATTCCAATTTCCTGTCGGCTTGCAGTTTGACGCTGTGCAGGAAGAAGATCTATCGCTGCGCTGTGAAGCTTTGCGTATCCAACTCGATCGCTTTCAGGCGTCTGAAGCCGTTGGTACCTTGGCCCTGATGGTGGATGGGACATGTGGTGAGGATGGCGTGGTTCAGTATGGTTCAATCTTAAAGATGCTCAGTTTTTTGAGGGGATGAAAGAATATCAGTCCTGGATTAATGAACCCCGGTTGAGTGATCAGGGGGTACCCACCACCAAGTCCGATGACTTTCTAAAATGGCACTCCCATTTTCCACAGCCCCGTGGTTTATTTGGGGTTGACATTAGGATGATTTGTAGCATTTGTAGCCACATATAGCCACCTTGGACATTTTGACAAATCGACAAAGACCCAGGAATGGTTTGGCCCTTGTCGCGCCACTCCGTGGGCTGTCGGTTGATTCAACGTGCTTTGGAGCCACTCAACTGCACCGAGATGTGCCTGTGCCATGGTCGTGGCGGCTTCCATTTTGCCCGATGATCCCTGATTTTTGTCGGGGTGGCTGAGCCACCAACCACACTTAAATAAATGATTATATATATATAATGAGAGAGAGAGTGAAACTGCCATTTTTGGTGCAGATGGAAAAATATGATGATTTATGATGATGAACTTTGTTTTTTTTGTAAGGTACTCTCTATCTCTCTATGTTCCACTAAAGTCACTAAAACATTAATTAATCATATCAAAATTACCCTCCAAAAATACCAACAAAACATGTTTTCTCATGTTCCCCCGTTTTTTCCCATGATTTTCCCCCGTTTTTCCCACATCTTTCCGCAGCCCCCAGGGTGACCCCGGCCTCCTTCGCGGAGCAGCTGGTCATGGAGCTGCGGGGCCATGTGAAGGACGCTGCCTCGTCGCCGCATGCGAACTACGTCCTGCAGAAGGCAACAGCGAAAAAGGGCCGGTTTGATATCCCATTATATTACTGAGTTAGTTCTTATCCCATGGGAACAATATGGGATCAATATCTTATCCCATCAATATCAGAATGCAAAAGGATATGAACCGATATTGATGGGATAAGATGGTTTTAAACTAACATAAGAACTAACTGTGCCGGCACCCTGAGCATTGATGTTGTAAAACATGAGATGTTGATGCCAAAACAGCCCCCCAAAATCCCGCAGGTGATCACACAGTTACGCCCACATGCATCCAGCTTCATCGCGGAAGAGCTTTTGGACAGCGGCGCGAGGCTGGGGTCACTACCTACGGGACTCATCCGAATGGGATGAACATCTCGGATACTTTGGGGTGAACAACCAGAAGATTCCCAGAGAATTGCAACATTTATTTGGCACTATTTCTCCATTGAAGGTTGGCCCGCGCCCTCCCCTCAAAAGAAAGCTTACCTATTAAATTATTTGGTTCTGTTAAAATGGCGCCCAGCATTTCCTCCAGGTTCGCGCGCCACCGTTTCGGCTGTCGGATTCTGTGCCGATTGTTGGAGCATTGCACCACTGAGGGCTCCACTCAAAGGCGAGCCATGGCAGTCATAGATCAATAGATGAGATACCTTCTGGTAAACTAACATAGATGTGGAAAACCCATGAAAACCCATCATTTGTAAATCATTTTCTTCATGAACTATCATGAACTATGGGTTTTCCACATCTATGTTAGTTTGGCCCCAGGGTAATAAGCTATGATATAGATGGCATAATTTAGTTGGACAAATCCTCTAAACAATCGTACTTTTTCCAGGGCAAACTGTTAGAGTACCAGAAGGATCCAGAAGGTAATTGGAATACATTGGAACCCCCCCATAAATGTGTTTTGGAAGCTGACTTCTCCCACTGGGAATGCTGAAAACAGTGGAAAGTCAAGGCTGCAGGGTGGAAATGTGTGATTCAAGGTCATCGGCCAGCGCAGTTGGGTAGCTTTTTGACTAGTGTAATATTTCGTACCACCATCCCACACCAACTGCCCGCCTTACCTTTGAAATCCTTTAAACGTCTTTCCTGATTTCCCCACATTTCCAGAAAAGTGCTGTGGACACCAGCCACGTTCTCACTTCTGGTATGGGCCATGGAGGGGGACAGTGGACCTACGTGTCAGGCTGATCTCGAAGATTTTGGAAGATCCCTCAGAAGCCTTGGAACTTTGTCGTCACAACTTTGGACATCACGTGGTGCAGCTGGTCTTGGAACGTGGACATCCCAGGCAGGGGACTCGGGGAGCGCGGGGAGCGCAAGTGCAAGGCTGAGAAGTGAGAGAAATGGATGGCGATCATAGAATTGCGGAGATATATTACTACCGAACTATTCACATGCATGTGTCACATAGTTTTTAGGTGCAGATCTACTTGAAACCTTGGGGCGCAACATTGGCACTGTGGGGGTGGAAGGATCAATGGACAGCCAAAGTTTAACAAGCATTGGTTTGATGATGCAGAAGGCTCAGAAACGCACTGGTGGCATGTAGAGATGTCAATTCTGTTGTGTTCAAACATGTTTGGATTCATAATTGCATCCAAAGTAGATCTGTGAACTTTGTTTGTTTGTTTGTTTGTTTGTTTGGTTTGTGGATTCAATTGTTTGTTTCCATTCTGCTTGGAATGATGACCCCATTGATCGCTGTAACTATTTTTTTCAGGGGGGCGTCCAACCATCAACCATTTCGTATTGGTCAATATGCCCAGTTCTTGTTTGACATTTCCAATAACATTCCCATTGTTACCTTTTATTACCATCTCTTCTCATTATCAAGTATCACTAGCATGAACTTACCACAGGTTACCATCAAATCACAATGTATAGTTACCCTCTGGTTATTTAACGTAGCCATGGAAAATCACCATTTTTAATAGGTAAACCCAGGTAAACCATCTATAAATGGGTCATTTTCCATGGCTATGTTCAATAGCCAGAGGGTAAAGCCATTCAATTCCTAAGTTCAACATTCTTCTTGCACTCCCTGCTGTTCCAATGATCCGTTCCAGGCACAAGGAGTTGGTGCTGCAGGTGCTATACAAAGACTTGGCCACCAATGCCGCACACCGCCGCGCCAGTTATGTGGTGGAAGCCGCCCTGAACAACTGCGCGCCACAGGCTGGGGTTGGATGGGCTGGATGTGCTGGATGGGCTGGGGCTGGTGGGGGTTGGATGGGGTTGGGGAGTCAAATCTCTAGATTTTGGGATTGACATATTTATTCAATGAATTGATGGTTTCTTTTAATTCAACCATATTCAAACATATTGAAGCATACATATCTATTTCATAATTACTTCCTTCTATTTCTAATAGCAAATGTTTAGCCGTTTTTGATTGGGAGTAGCCCCAAAATTGATGCATCCATCATTTCCAGCTCCGCCAGGGTCAGTACAACTTGTTGCATCACCTGCTCCAGCCATCGGTACTCTATGAGTTGTCACAGGCGCGGTTCCCGTGCCACCGTGCCACAGATTGGAACCTCTGAATCCGAAGAAATGCGCCGCATCGTCCAGGCTCGCTACGGCCTCTACGTGGTGAAGACGCTTTTGAAGAGACCTGAGGCCATGGGGCGTTTGGTCGATTTTCCTTTGAAACCAATTTGGGCGGAGAAGCTGATTTTGTGGACTCTTTTTTGTTACGGTACATTGTGGCTCTATGGGAGCTGCGTGTACTGTGACTATTGCAGTAATAAGAACGTCTCTAATTATAGTCCTATAACGCGCTAGTGTGCACCTCTCATCTTCGAAATCAACTGCTCCATACAAGTCCATTTCGTACCTGTTGGAGACACATGGAATCGAATCGCACGGAGTTTCACATCCCATAATGCATCATCCATCATCATCTAACAAGTATCCAACATGTGTATCATCTACAGATTTTCGACATGACCATGCAGACTGTTCATGCAGACAGTTCATGACAGTTCCACGTATGTTGCATCTTTTTCAGCATCCCAAGATCTCCAGGTAGATGCCAATGGTATGGCTCGTGCCATTCCAGCAGTGGCTGCTCGGACTGCTCGGACTGCTCTTCCTTAAGGTGATGGCTGTTTCAAATCTTTCACAATCGCCATCTGATGATCATTTATTAATTTTATTATCATCTACTATTATAGTTGGTCTAATTATTTGGTAATAAATGATCTATAAATGGTGATCTAATTTTATTAATGATCATCTACTATTAACATTTATTGGTCGATTTTCTACAATCATTTGTTGGTGGCATGATTGCAAGCCCAAAAAGACATGTCACATATTCTTGGGATGGGTTGAGTATGGATCCTAGAAAAACGGGGCTTTGTGCCACCTTGTGAAGATGACCAACTCTCTTATCAGCGTTGACCTGAGGCTGAGATCATGAAAAAGATTGCTGCCAACCCAGTGGATGAGCGCATGGGATAGGAGACCAGTCAGAAGATCAGTCAGAAGACCATAGAAGACCTGTTCACCCCTTGGGTGTTGTCTGAGCTGATGGGAGACTGTGTCTGAAATACAGAAGGGTGGGCAGACGAGAGATACTGAGTTGCAGACTCTGAGTGGTTGGGGGCTGTTTTTTTTCTCGTACCAAAATTGATGTCCTGATCAACATTGTTAGGCGGGGTTGAAACTATCAATATTATCAATCAGCATCGATCAGCTTCAATCAGCTCATTTCATAGATCAAGCATGGACCCACAAAAGCGATGTCAATTCATGCCACTAAATTTGTGTACCCCTGAGGCAGTAGGCTTGGCAACCCAGTCTAGAAGCAGCAACAGAGTCAGAGATGCAGTCCCCCTATCTATTGACAGATAGTGATGCTAGGCGTTTTGCTAAATGATGGCACCAGGGCTGCAAACCGAAGCAACACATGGCGTGCGTCCAGTGCTCCTCATTTCAGGAGTTTCATAGAAACGGCTGTTCCATGCCCCAAAAAGTTTGCAGCCCTCTCATAGCGGCGGAGAGTGGCGTAATGGGCCTTGCCCAACGCTGGTATGAAACGGAAGTTATAGGTAAGTGGATCAAGCAACGGAGTGGAAGAACCTTCTGGATGACACATTTTGGGCAAAGCTCCTAGTGACGAAATGCTATATTTGCCGTCGTAGGGACAAGGAAACAGTGAAGTCCAGGTATGTCCAGGCATGCCATTCAGATAATTAGTCAGTGCATGTCAGTGCATTTTTTGACATCGACATGTGAAGGTATGATTAAAAGGGATGGTTGCATGATTATAATGCAAGGTAGCAGTTGGAAGAAAGCAGAAAATCTAAGATTTCAGATGCCATGCTTTCTCGTAAACTGGTTTGATGATATTAATTAGCATGTCCTTTGCCCAAGCATGCCATGGATTCTGATCTTAGTGGTGCTTTGCAATACCCTTGCGGCTTGCGCTCTTCAGAGGACTTGAAGCAGTGTGGCATCAAGATAAGAGCAGAGTATGACAGTTTTGATGGAGGAGTGATATTTGATGTTCCAGGATTGTTTTCTTGGGGCAGTTGATAGGGAACTCCCATATCTCGATAAAACATGTAAAAGCGAATGATTGTGTCCTAATTTTCCGTCAAATCAATCTATTTCAGAAGGTTTTCGCTCAATTTCCCTAAAAGCCAGTGATGTTGGAACATGCTTCCAGAAGGTTTGATCTTTCCTCGTTCAATGCCAGCACCGCACGTTTGAGCTCAGCGGTGGCCGGCCATCCAATCACTGAGTTGATGATCTGGCATGAATTCATTGAGGTCCAGGGAAAGCCGTCAAAGTGCCCTTAGGGCCCGGCAAGACAGGGCAGAGCAGGTGGTTCGTTTACGTTTCGTTCATCATGTCCAGAGCTTTCAGCCCTGCACGGCTCTGCCTGTTTTGCCGTGTCATTGGGAAAGTGGCTCTCTCTCCTTGATGGGAAATGAAATTAGCAGGAGGTAAAAACGTTCGAGTGGCGTAGTATTGAACCGGCGTCCTGTGTCCTGTTTGACTGAGACTTTGATCTATCATTCTCAGTCATCATAAATCATTAATTAATTAATCGATTAAATCAATCATTGATATATGTGTGTAGCAATACTGAAACAATCAATAACACTAGACTATATATATATAGCAATAATGATATATGACTTAACATATCATCAATATGTCACCTGTTGGAATGGGCACGAAGATATGCATCATGTCGGAAGAGGGCAGGTGGTGCAGGTGCCACAAGTGGCTGGGACCTTTTGATCGAGTGGAACTTCCCAGGGATATGATGAATATGTACCCCTCGCAATCCTCAACATCAACATACATTCACCAACCCGAAGGACACGGTTTCTGTAATTCCACCAAAGGATCGTTTTTTTCGTTGTGTCGCTCAAGTGTTCTTGAGGAATGTGTCAACCAACCCCCTTAGCTGGCCGCAGGTAGGGGACGAGGTGATGCAAATCACACCACGACATCCATTGATGAGAAACACTGAAATCGCTGGGAGCCTCAAGGGGTAATTTCACAATTTTACAGTAGGGAGGCATGTTACCCTCTGGTAAACAGCCACATAACTATGGAAAATCACCATTTTCAATGGGAAAATCCACTATTTCTATGGCCATTTTCAATAGCAAACTGTTAAATTACCAGAAGGTAAATGTGGGCTGGGATTCCTGAAGCAGATCAACAGACTTGCTGTCACGGACAGCTCAAGCATCCATACATTCATCCGTACGTCCATGGAGACATACATAGAGACATACATAAAGACATACATAGAGACATACACAGAGACATACATAGAGACATACACAATACATAGAGACATACATACAGACACACAGCCCATGTAATATATCTATATATATCTGAGTAACCGACAAAGTTATTGTGATACTAATTGAGTCTTGCTTCGCCTTGGCCTTTCTGAGTTTGCACAAAACCTTCATAACCATTAGGGGACGATCCTATACCGATACCCCATTTGTGATACCGCCGGGAGTATTGAAACCCTCACAACCGATAGGGGACGACCCTAATTTGTGCACTGCAATAAATTTATATAACAAAGGATTTTGTCCGCTACTCTACACACACACATATATATGTTATATATATATATCATATACTTATGTGTATATATATATAATATATACAAATATACATCCTTATTGTACTTGCTGCAGCCGAATTCGCTGGGGCAGGAGGTGCAGATAGAGCCCTGGGCGGTGCGTGCCGCAAATCTGCGGGATCAGGAGTGCCAGGATGTGCCAGGGACCAGTATCGGAATATAAGGGGGAGATCTAATCCCTACGGTTTCAATGGATTGGTTTAAGGGAAAATCTACAGGAAACCATAGATTTTCCCATTAAATATGGGGCTTTCCTGTAAATTTTCCCTTAAACCATCCATTGATGGTTTATCCATGTTTATCCCATTATTTATCGGGTTTCAACGGTTTCAACCATCCAAGGTGGTGCAGGATTTCTTCCATCCACAGTATCTGCCTAATATGAAAGACCCCCGAGAAACTATGGTTTAATAGAGAATTTACACATATTTGACACCATAGAATGGGGGTGTTTGATTTTTTGGGGGATCGGATTAATCAACAATTATGGTGACGTAATGTGATATATGTCAAAAAGATAATGGTGGTATGATTGATGATTTACGGATGTAATATTGGAGAGATGAATTTTATCACCAATAAACGGGGCTATGATGACAAATGGGGCTCTTATGAAGTCTTATGGGGTATTACATCACCAACAAAACATGCCGTTTCAAATTGAGATGGGTTAAAACGTAAGACCTATCGGACTGCAGATTTTGTTTCGTTCTAAGATGTTCTAAGCATCCAAGTTGAGGGGAGCCACACCCAAAAATCCATGTCTTGGGCTAGAATAAATTAGGGTGCCCCAAGAGCGGATGGTTCATCTTTAGATGATGAGCTTTCTCACAATTTGATGCCATTTCGGGGTATCCAGGTATCCGTGCAAATGGGACATTTCCACCCTTACTGAGGGTGACAGGAGAATAGCTGAAGGACCCCCACTGTGTGGTTCATGGCATGAGAAATAGCAGGAATGAGAGTGGTGAAAGGTCAGCAACAGATAGAATAGATAGATCGATGGATGGATAGATAATTACCATAATTAACAATCTTAGGAGCGGTTGCTTCTAGAATATCGCCCAGCGCCATTATGCAGTACACCAATAGCGGTTGGATCACAGTGCTTCCAGGAGCGATATCCAGCTCGCTGGACTGGATGGATGAAAGAAAAGGAACAAACACGCCCAGTGGCCTAGGGCTGGGACTGGTGCCAAGGGTCACTGTGAAGATCCCTTTTGAAGGGACAGTTTTTTATTGTGGCTTAGATTCGCACCTTAAATCTACATGGGGAAGAGATAGGAATACATGGATTTGAGAAGAGTTTCAGGCCTTGAGTCACCTTATTGATTTTTTCCTTTGATTTAATAATGCACATGGGTTTCCATGATGTGAATGGACATGGGATGCCATGGGGTATGGTTTGGGCGAGTCCAGGATCCATCACTGAGGTGAGATTTTCACCTTCAAGACTGGTTCCCCGTGGTAAGCTCAGAATGCGACTTAAGGAGGCAACCTGGTGCCCGGCCATGGCAGAAAGATAATGAGCACGGTGGAAGTGGCCCCAATTTTTTCTCAACTTTAGGAAACTTGGCATGATTTAACACCAGAAATACGAGAAAATCTCGTGCCAGGGTCAAGTGGTTCATCCCATGTTCATCCCATTCTGCTGTACTCCCATGTTTGAAACAATGCATTCCACCCAAGCTTTTTGGCTGCGATCATGGATGCCCTGAGTGCACATTGAAATCATGGAAGCTGCCAGGTGCCAGATTGATCCTCAAATAGGTGGGGGAAGTTTGCCCAGTTTCCCTGCTACAAGCAGCGTTTTGATTGTATTTGCCTTTTGTTGGCAAAGTATGTTCAAGATTTCAAGGATGCTGAAGGCAATGTGCTGGTCACCATGATTCACGGTATCATCTGTATCCGCCCACAGGTTTTCGCCCCCCAACTTGAAAACCAGCACGCCATGCAAATGCTATGATGCCAGAAAGAAATTTAGACAGCAGCAAGATGAAACAGGTAATTTACGTGTTGGAGCCTCCTACCGCAATGTCCGAAACCTGCTACTCTGGGCTGCTGGCTTGGCGGAAATGGTGGGGCCGCTGGGCGAACGAGGACGAAAAATGATGCAAAATGCAACAGTGCAACAGGCAGTTTGAGCAGTCTGAAATCATGTTCGGGTAATGAAGAAATCATCAGAAATCAAACTTGTCACTTTTGCTTGGCCCTCCAAGCTTCACTACATTTCACTACCATCTCACTCATGTTTTTAGGCTGGCTGGGTAGCGCCTGATCTCCAGGACATCGCGCCGGCACCCAGGAAACCAGAAGGACCTGGAGATCCCAGAGACTTGGAGAATGCCTGTAGCTGGAGTATGATGTGAAGCCATTTTGCTAAATAGATCTAAATACAAGGATGACTTGATTTGGATTCACCGTTTTCTTCATCATGACCAGTGATTTATGTGATTTTATATGTTTTTTTCCTAATCCCAGCTGATATTACTTAAGCACCCCCATTGTATGGTCCCTATATGTCCCTAATGTGGTTTCATCCCCTACTAAACCATGGTTTCTGAGGGGATTATTGTTCACTTTGTCAAGGCTTCACTTACTGGAATCGCGCCAGCTTGCAACCCGTAGCTTGGTTTTGGCTCACTCCCGGGGTGCGCGTGGATACCTGTGACGTTAACTCCAGCGGCTTCCAGCACTTTGGCTTCATGGGCAGCTGATCGTCCTTGGAGACTTTGCATGTTGAGGGGCTGAACTCTTGGAGAAGGCAATAGAAATTTTATTAAATATATATGACGGACATATGTCGGATGTGTGTGTGTATATATATATCTGTGTGCGTGTGTGTGTGGGATGGGGGTTTCGACCTTGTTATATCCTTTGTGGAACATTTTGAGACCCACATGATCAACGCATTCCACTGCTGAGGTGACCCGATACCATGTTGGCACCTGTTTTTATGACCATTTCCCTGGCCATCAACGTTTTGGTCTTGGTGCAACTTGGGCGGACGGCGGGTCCAGGAGGCATCCTTGCAGTAGGACCAAATGAATTTGATGGTTTAGTTCGGTTGGAACTCATCGATTTTATGACTATGACTATAAACATCTACAATCTACAAAATTACAATATATGATGTAGTACATGTATATTATATGTAGATCGAGGGAGTCGGAAAGCATTAGACCAGCCTTGTACCAACAAAAAAGTAGGAAACTACTTCAAAAGAACTTGGATTTTTCATGGATTTTACATCTACAGTTGCGGATGCCATTGGGGCATGAAGCGGAAGTGAGATCCTGACATGGCTCTATTGTTGCACGGCATGCGGTGGCAATATCAGCATGGCCATGATTTTACTCCCTTTTGGAGGGAGGAACCAAAAACATACCCCCCAATTGGTGTGTACTCCAGTCTTGTTGACAGGATGGAACCCTCCCCGGGCTGGCAGCGTTGGCTGACGTTGGGTCTCGCAGATATCCGGCCATTTAATGGGGCCATATGGCTTTGGAACCCATCATAACCGTCACTACGCCACCCCTTTCTTTTGGGAAGAATGGCCAAGGATGGCCGAGGGGCACTGTAGGGGGCGCCGCAGGTGCCAGTTTGTTATGGTCTCTACTCTGATGGCAAGGGCATGAAAGTGGTCTATGGAGCGGAAACACCGGCCAGAGGGATCCTGAAGGCAATGTACACGTGGCTTGGGTGCTGAATTATGGCAAACATGTGGAGCTATCAAAAAGCACAGTGCCATACAGAGCGAATATTGGGACTATCGAGATTGGGGACTGCAGTATGGTGACCCATTGCCTCCTTTATTCTTCTTCTTTTCAGTAATTTTATTGTGTATGTAGTTATTTGCGGTTGGTTTTGTTTTCATTGAAATCATCCATTATGATCTTCCCATATCTTCCCTGGCCTTGTTTGATTACCAAAGCTTACTCGGCGGAGACATCCCTATTTGTTTCATGCGGCTTATGGCTTTTGCCGCAGCCGCTTCTACCTTTCGGAACGCGGGCGTGAACAACAAAACCATGAAACCTCACATGCTATATTATTTATTAGACATATATATATTTATATGAGACATGAATAGACATGAAAGAATGTATTGTCATGTCGAAAAAAATCGTATCTGTCAATGTTGGTTATCAATTTCCAGTTTGGATTACCTGGACCTGTACATTTCATATTCCCCAGTGTCCAGATTTTTTTTTCAGCTGAGGTCAATCCTGGTGATGTCCTTGGCGCTCCTTCCCAGCATTTTCATTGATGAAACCCGTGCCTTGGAAATCCCCGAACTGGGCATCTCCAAGGTGATTTCGACCTTGTGAGCCACCAGCTCACCATGGAGGTCGTGGTAAACCCTACACCTCTATTGGGTGGTTTATAGATGGGAAAATCCATGGTTTACAAACCCAACTGCATGGGTGATTTTGCGGCAAACCATGATTAGGGTAGGCCTTCCCAGTTGGATCTGGACCAATGTTTGGGACAATCCTATATATCCTATTGTAAATCCTTGTGAAATTCGGAGACTACATGTGAATACCTAAAATGAACGGAGGGATATTGAAACTAACGATCTACATTTTGGGTGTGGGGTTGAGAGCGCGAACACATTGAAGGGGAAAACCCATGTAAACCCAATGCCATAAACCATCCCTTTGACCTAAAGCTTATTTTTACATCATTTTAAATAGGGGTATACCCACTAACAAACGTCCATTGGGTGTGGTTTATCATTGTTTTTAGCACATTCTATGGTATGTATGCATATATATATATAATATAGAAAATCGACATATTGCACATCTCGAACCAAGAATGAATGCGTAGCTGACGGACACACCAAGGTGATGGTGCTAGGTGGATGTCAACAGCTCTGTTTCTGGTGCAAATCGTCTACAAGTTTTTGACCCCTGCGACCACTACGGGTGGGGTGCCTCCTGGGATGCCGGGGAATCCAGCCGTCCTAGCTAGAGCCTTGGCTGCCAATTTGGGTGCCGGAAAGATCATGACATGTCATTGTGATGAACACTTGGCTCATGGGTTGCATTTTCAGGGGCTTGTTGGGAAGGAAACTATTGGCAAGGGATTGCCTTCGCGAATCCAAAGCACGAGTCCAAATCATGAAAAGATGGTTTTTGCATGTTTTTGCACATCCCACACTCGAATGGCAACTAATCAATAGCCACGGTCACCAAGAGTTTCCTCATTGGGCGTTTCCTGTTTGGTTGCAATTTCCATGACACATATGTCGGCAGGTCTTCTACATCGCACATCCCAAGTGGTTATTCAAGTTGGATATGAATGAACATTTGAGACCCTCAAAAGCACTCTTGAGACCCGGTGAGCCACTCAACTGTGTGGTCACACTTTGTTCCTTTTGAGCACCAAACCTCGCAGTTTCAGTAGCACCCAGCCTTGACCAACACCCAAATCATCCCAAAATAGGGTGTATACCCCCCAAATCCAGAGGACAAAAAAGTGAATTTCTCAACAACAAATAGATACCAATAGCATCAAGCAGCCATTTGGTATCATTTGGTGATAATTTTACCTTATTTTCAGACCCGTCATCGTCATCGTCATCGTCATCGTCATCGTCATCATCATCATCATCATCATCATCATCATCATCCTCATCGTCATCGTCATCGTCACCGTCACCGTCATCGTCATCGTCATCGTCATCATCATCATCATCATCCTCATCGTCATCATCATCATCATCATCATCGTCATCATCATCCTCATCGTCATCGTCATCATCATCATCATCATCATCATCATCATCATCGTCATTGCATCGTCATCGTCATCGTCATCATCATCGTCATCATCATCATCATCATCATCGTCATTGCATCGTCATCGTCATCATCGTCATCGTCATCATCATCATCATCATCATCGTCATCGTCATCGTCATCGTCATCATCGTCATCGTCATCATCATCTATACTACCAATGACTCATGATTACCCCAATCATCGTCCCATTTTCTGAACCATTTTTGGTGGTAAAGTTACCTTATGTTTTTGCCGCGCGGGCGGAAAAAAACACTGAGACCTGGTCATTGCCCTCTTTCACTGCATCACTGTGGGCATCTTTTTAGCCAAAGCCTAAGGCACGCCAGGGAGAGGGGATGCCTTATGTCAAGGGGAAATCCTTGATTTGATGGTTACAAAATGTTACAAAGATGGCTGCTTTCCAGGAAATTGGACTTTCATCTGCACACACATATAATCAGTTACATATATATATATATATATACGACCAGTAGTACCGCACAAGGCGGTGGCGGAAGTTTCAAAAATAGGAAACCTATAGGAGAGGTTGGTTGTTGTGAATCACGGATGGCAGAGCGAATCCACGGATGGACCGGAAGGTGGTTGGAGTTGTGTTTTTTGGAGTGGTTGCAATGGTTGCAGTGGTCACCTCACCCACAACTGCTGGATGTACTGTGGTGTAGTGCCGTTGTAGTTGTAGTTGTAAAGTAGTGTAGTCTACTGTCGTGTTGTGTACTCTAGTGTAGTATAGTGTAGTGTAGTGTCGTGTAGTTGTAGTTGTAGTGTAGCGTAGTGTAGTGTAATTATTGTAGTGTAGTGTTGTGTAATGTAGTGGTAGTTGTAGTGTAGTAGTCGTCGTCGTCGTCGTCGTAGTACTTGTTGTTTGTTGTTGTTGTTGTTGTCGTTGTAGTAGTAGTAGTTGTTGTTGTTTTTGTTGTTGCTGTACTAGTTGCAGTTGTCGTTGTCGTTGTAGTTGTAGCTGTAACGTAGCGTACTGTAATTAGCATAGTGTAGTGTAATGCAGTTGCAGTTGTAATTGTAGTTGTAGTGTAGTGGTAGTTGTAGTTGTAGTTGGAAACGAAGCTATTCTGCGAGACTTCCTCAGTTTTTGAGCTTGGCAACATCAAAAACGCGGCAAGTCTGCGAGACTTCCTCAATTTTTGAGCTTGACAACGTCAAAAACGAAACATAACGAGACAATTCTGCGAGACTTCCTCATTTTTTTGGGGTTGGCAACATCAAAAACGAAGCAATTCTGCGAGACTTCCTTCAAAAATGGAAAGTTGAGTGCAGAGCTGACGGCCTCGTACCAGTGCGTTTCGCGATTTTTCCACTCCACCTGTCTAAAGCACTGCGCCTGCCACGAAAAATTAATGCCAAGCCATACGAAGTGCTGCACTTGTCACGCAAAATCATCTTAGTAAACCTACGGATCTGATGCTCCAAAATGAGACTCCTCTCAGGAAATCAGCGTCCTGACCTCCTAACATCTCTGACGAACATGTCTCTTGCACTGCGCCTGCCACGCGAAATGCATCTTTGCAGATCCTCTGCAAATGTCCCAAGCCTGCCATCGTTTTTGGAACTGCTACCAAACCTTCATGTTTTGCTCGCTTTTGGCAGGGTGTAGAATCCCTTGCACCTGCCACGCAAAATCACATCTGAACGTCCAAAAATGCTCAACCCGTCAGTTTTCTTCTCACTATTACTCTTCTTTGATCTTCTCTCTTCGGCTCTTCTCCTCTCTGACTCTTCCCACCTCTGCTTTTCCATTTGTCCATATTGTCGGAAGTTTGACTTCTAAACTTCCTCCGATAGTGGTTTACGTATACATACATGCATATATATATATACCAGTAGTACCGCACAAGGCGGTGGCGGAAGTTTCAAAAATAGGAAACCTATAGGAGAGATTGGCTGTTGTGAATCAGGGATGGCAGAGCGAAGCCACTGATGGACCGAAAGGTGCTTGAGGTCTCCTCTCTTTCTCTCTCTTTCTCTGAATAGCTATCTATGTATCTATGTATCTATCTATCTATCTATCTATCTATCTATCTATCTATCTATCTCTCCATCTATCGATCTATTGTTGTTGTAGTTGTAGTTGTTGTGGTTGGTGTTGGTGTTGGTGTTGGTGTTGTTGTTGTTGTTGTTGTTGCTGTTGTTGTTGTTGCTGTTGCTGTTGCTGTTGTCGTCGAGGTTAGGGTAGTTAAGTTAGTGAAGTTAGTTAAGTTAGTCAAGTTAGTTAAGTTAATCAGTGTCTACTTTTTCGACATCTTCACGTCAAAAAAGGCTCAAAACCCTCAGTTTTTTACACTTTTGACTTCGAAATGTGCTTCGCGCCACAACGGCGTGCACTTTTTTGACACTTTTTCGACATCTGAACCTCCAAAAGTGGTCCGAGACCGTCAGTTTTTAACACTTTTGACTTGGAAATCTGCTTCGCGCCACAGTGGCGTGCACTTTTTCGACATCTCAACTTCCAAAAGTGGTCCGAACCTGGTGTGTTTTGTACATTTTGACTTGGAAATGTGCTTCGCGCCACAACGGCGTGCACTTTTTCGACATCTCAACTTCCAAAAGTGGTCCGAACATGGGGTGTTTTGTACATTTTGACTTGGAAATGTGCTTCGCGCCACAACGGCGTGCACTTTTTCGACATCTCAACTTCCAAAAGTGGTCCGACCTGGTGTGTTTTGTACATTTTGACTTGGAAATGTGCTTCGCGCCACAACGGCGTGCACTTTTTCGACATCTCAACTTCCAAAAGTGGTCCGAACCCTGGTGTTTTGTACATTTTGACTTGGAAATGTGCTTCGCGCCACAACGGCGTGCACTTTTTCATCTCTCATCTGGCCAGCTGGCTCCGCACCCGCCGCTTTAGCGAGCCTACTTTTCGACCCTCCGGAGCCACAAATCATTGGAAAAACACAGTGTTTCGCGACTTTCCTACCTTTTCGCGCATCTGTAGCGTCTGTCCTCTTACTCTTTCTCTTCTGATCTTCTCTCTTCTAATCTTCCTCTTCTCTGTGCCTCTGCCCTGCTCTGCTTTTCATCTCTCCATATTGTCGGAAGTTTGACTTCTAAACTTCCTTCGATAATATAATATTATAAAATAGATGTCTGGAATAGGGACTCACTTGGGATAGAAACTTAAATAGAGGATAGGGTTTGAGGATACAAAGGGGAGATCGCTATGACCAACGCCTCGCGTCGCCCCAATCATTCACTCACAAATTTTAGAGAACTGTACATGTGCGCATTGATAGATATTGATAGGTATTTAGACTTGTATTACGATGTATTACAGCGATTTGGAGGTGTTTGTTTCTACCCCGCTGTGGGACATCGCACCATGTCGTCTTGCACCCGCCTGATTCAGATGCCGGTAGGTAGCAGATGGGACATGCTTCAGCGCGCGAATGTGACTGCTCTCCTGCTGCCCAAACGGGCAGCAGTGGTTAGATGTTGGGTGCAACAGTTAAGCCGTTGCCAGCCATGTGTGGACAGGTTATCGACCAGGCAACAGATGACTCAAAGCTGGACTGCGTAGAAACTGGCATGTAAGACGGGGTAAGAGTTCCAACGCAGCCAGCCATGCAAATCGAATAGCAAAGATCCCAAACACGCGCAGTCTCCTGCAGATTGATTGCCAGCACAGCCCATGTACAGAGCTTGAATGTTCGCAAGACCCACTGTGAGAGAAACAGTTTCAAAAACCGACAAAACATTCTTACATTGTTTTGAAAATTGTTTGAAATTGTTGGAAAATTGTTTGAAAATTGTTTTTCTTTTAAAACAATTTTATGAAAATTGTTTGAACATTGTTTTTTATCAAAAAGATATTTCTAAACAATTTTATGAAAACTGTTTTAACATTGTTTTTATTCAAAATATGTTCAGAACAATTTTACGAAAATTGTTTAAACATTGTTTTTTGTCAAAAAATCTTTGAAAACAATTTTATGAAAATTGTTTAAACATTATTTTTATCAAAAAGATCTTTGAAACAATTTTATGAACATTGTTTAAACATTGTTTTTACCAAAGATCTTTGAAAGCAATCTTTATGAACAATGTGTGAACATTGTTTCTTGAATACACACTATTTTAGAACAAGCGTATGAGCATTGGTTTCTTGTCCTTCATCACAATACAGTACATTTGTTTGATGTGTTTTTTTGTAATCAAAACATGTTCAACAGTTTCACTTTGTTGTTCTTATATTATATCATTCACCATTTCGCATCGTTGTGATCTACTATCAGAGCTGGTTTTTGCAATTGCATCTGCACCATGAGCTTTGCAAGTTTCATGGAAGCTGTATTTGATGGATTTTTTCAAATCATGTTGACGGTCTTGGACCTGGTTGTGCGTTGTGACATGATCGTGTTGCCGCGCTGGTGTTGTCACCTGGTCTTGATCTCCTAGATGCAGTTTTGGGCTCAAGATTTTCAAGTGTCTAAATTGCTGTCGCCATCATGTCGACTCGCTACTGTTACCTCTGTCTGATGGACGTCTTGTTTACTCCGTGGCTCGATGACCCTGATGTGGCACCAACAAAGGCACTTGCAAAAGATGGTCGTTGTGATTGGGAGCATTCGATTCATGTCCCGCTCTCTCCCCCAAGCAGCCCATCCTTGCCCAAGGCGAACCGTCGCAAAAAAAAGCTTGAGAAAAAGGAGAAGAGCTCAGACAAGCAGTGAAGGCCATGGATGATCAACATTCAGTTGAGATTGCCAGGCAATATGGGGGCAACCTGCCAGCTCCAGAGGCAGCTGGCCTCAGGCCCGGTTTTGGCGTGCAGCCAGTTCCTGACGACCAGGCTGGCCCCAGGCCGGGTTTGCCTCTGCGCCGTAGAAGCAAAGGCGCTTTGCTACGATTGCTCGGAACGAAGCAAAACTGTCAGACCTTGCGACCCGCAGCATTCCGAAAGCAAGCTGCCCACGCCAATAGCACTGGCCGAAATTGCACCAAAGATTTTGTTATACCAGATTCTTCAAGTGCAAAAAGGCAGGCCCCAAGAGGAAAAGGCAAGTGGAAGCAATGGACCCCAGATGCGGTTCTCAGAGCGGCTTTTGCCAAAGAGAATATGGTGATACGACATGTCGCCGAACAAGTGGATGGAGGCAGCGCCAGTCATGCCGCCGATTGCAAGTTTTTTGCCTCTGAATTGATCATGCGGGGACAAAGGGATGGCTTGTCCAAATTCCTCGAGGAGGCGCTGAAAGATGTTGGGATGTTTGATTTTGCGCTGACCAACATGATCTTTGATGAGACGGAGCTGGAAATAAATCTGAAGTCCTTTGGACTCGGGTCCTGGTCGATCCTTGCTTCTCATGCTCAGATGACTTTCTGTGTCAATGACCAGACGCATGATTTCGATTTTATCCGCGCACCTGCGGCCCTTCCCAACAAACAGGCAACCACTATGTGGCCCGCACTCTGCGCAGGCGAGGGGGGCCTCTGGCCGGGTTTGTCCGCAGTGGCAGCCAGGGTCAGGGCGGTGCTGGTTACCTGCGACGCGGCTCCAGCGAACATCAAGCTCCTCTCGCACCTGCAGAGTGTCCTGGACCAAAGGACGTTGCTTCTCCCGCTCTTGTGTCTCCAACATAGAACGGGGAATGTCATCGAGCGAGTCACTAAGCTGTTGGGCGTGTTGACCGGAAGTTTTTCTGTGGCCAAGACATTACGTTCCGGCAGCGTTGTGAAAAGGCTAGCTGGTCACGTTCGAGACGTGCTGGCAGAGAATCTTCAGGTCTTTGACCGGGTTCCTCCAGGCGTTGTTGAAGAGTGGGCCGCTGGGCAAGCGTGTGCCAAAGCTATCTTTAAGCTTGTGCTGCAAGGGCGCGACGACGACAAAGCCAGCGGCGCCTGCCAAAGATTTTTGGATTTCTTCGCAAGCCCTTGGACAGGACCGACTGCTGGGGAGGGCTCGGGCCAGTGACTTTGGGGAATTAATGGACGCTGGAGCAGTTGTTGCGTTTTTTTTAGTGCTGCGGTTTCAAACCAGGTTTGATAGGTGGTAGAAGATGGTAGAAGCGTCAAAGAATAGATGATGCATATGATTATATAAGTATAATATAATTATAATATATATATATATGGTATTAATATTCTATTCATGTTATGTTTTTCTGTACCATATTTGACCTGACGTATGCAGAGAGCAGTGTGCAGCGTGTTTAAATGTTGCAAAGTTGATGTGCTTTTGGAGCAGCCTGTTTTGCTTGCTCAAATTTCCCTCGCGGTCGAGCCGGCTTCCACGACTCTGTGTCTCATGGTGGTCAAGGTGGTGGAGAAGGTAGGGAGGCCTACAGAAACCGACGTCGTGGCGAATTATGGTCTGTCTGCCATTTTCCACCCAGGTGACTTGCGATGTCAGACTGCGGCTGGCCTCTGGCCGAGTTCTGATCTCCGCGAGAACCCTTTGAGCCTGACTACCGCCTTGAACAAGTCCAAGGGCATCCTCGTGGCTGACACCTATGGTGGCGTTGAAGCCTATCGATGGGCACGAGATGCCTACAATGCCAGGCCATCTGTTTGTTGTTAAACACTAATGGTTAAGTTAGTTTCCAGTTAATGTTTTGTTTTGTGTACCTTGTCCTTTTTTGTTTTTGAATTGAGCAGTTACCAATCAGGCACCCGATGCATGTGATGGTCGATATGTCGGCCTCCGTGCCTGGTTGCAATGGCAGGCTTTGGCTTGGAGGTGAGCAGGCCAGCACAGACGTAGGTCTGCTCGAGAGAAACGGCATTTCTGTCGTGTTGCCAGCTTCGCGCACTCCTATCCCGGCTGAGAGCCTCAACCACGTGGTCCTTGACTACATTGACGGGACGGCCTTAGCGAATGAGGACTACGACTTGTCCAAGTTCCTTAAGGTCGCTGACCAGGTTGTGGACTTGCTGAAGAAAGGCCACGGGGTCTGAAGTTCATGCAGAAACGGAGCTCATCGCAGCGCGACAGAGACGTGCGTTCTGATCATGCGACTCACTGGGTGGCCGTATGAGCAAGCAGAAAATTACATCTGCACTCTTCGAAACTGCGTGGATCTAAATTCTGTAGCGCCTCCGTCTGCTCACAGGAGGCATCCGGTTCGTCCGTCCGAGTTCCTCAAGAAGCACCAGGAGACGATCCTGGATGGACACTACGGCCTTGCAGTGAATGACATTGTCACGCCTGTGGCATACCGCAAGAAAATGCTGGACCTGGGTTTCGAATCCATTTCGACCAGGCCTAAGGCCAAGCCTGCCAAGGCTATCAGACGAGATTCTGGTTACTCGTCTTTTGAGCTTCTGACGGATCCGGCCAGTGCCAGTGGCCAGGAAACAGCCAAGGAGGTTGAGTTGGTTGCAGAGGATGTCCTAGGTGGAACCACCTTGAGTTCAGAAGGTGGGTCTTTGACCTCGTCTTCTGTGGCCTCTGGCCAGGTCCCTGAGCCAAAGGATCCACCCGCGCAGTCCCATTCACCTGGCAAAAGAAAGGAGTCTGAGGCAGAGGACGACTTTGCCGAGTTTGAAGTGGTTGATGATGATTTGGATACGAAAGAGAAGCGAGCGGCAAAGTTGACTTCATTGTGTGACGACCTGCAGACCCTCAATGCCTCGATGCTGAAGCTCCTGCACCCCAAAGAGACCTCCAGGCCACAGCAAAAGGCTATGCCAAAGCCGCCTTCGGAAGCGAAGAAGGATGAGGTGAAAGCCGAGAACAAGATGGACAAGATGGATGTCGACGAGGGTGCGGCTTCCCCGGCCAAGGTTGTGGCTGCATCCAGTTTCTAGGTTGTAGTTTATTCATTATTTTTTTGTTTTTTGGGGTTTCAACTGATAGCTGGGTCTTAAACGAGTAATTAGCAAGAATATAATATATCATATATCATAATTATAGTCATCAATTGTTTTGTTTTACTATATGGGAACATTCTTGTAAGTTGTAAGCTTTTAGGCTTATAGGCTAAAGCGTATAGGTCCAAATTGTTGTATAATAGTTGAAAATGTGCAGAGTTTTTAAAATTCAATGGAATGTCTTGCTATTTTTGTGAGGCACTGAGGAGCCCTTTGAGCCAGATTACGACCCAGACGACCCCGAGCCAGAAGAACCAGCCCCCTCACCTCTGAAACCGGATGAAAGTGAGCAATCCGAAGAAGTGATGAAGCGGGTCTTGCGCTTGCTCGAAGAACAGCGCTTGCATAGCCACGCCTTTTTGGCGAAGTCCTCGAGGCAGGATTCATTCAGCGAGAATCAGGAAAGGATCTTTGCGGCGCTCATGGGTCCTACGCCTCTGGCGGTGTTGCCAATGCTTGATGATATGGCTGCCAGCCAGGCCCTGCTGCTCAGGGACAAGAATGGCATGAGCCTCTTGCACTTCTCTGCGCGCCTTGGCTGCTGGGAGGTCATGGACCGCATGTTGCAGATTAATCCTCAGCTCTGTGACCAGATGACATCGCCAGTTGGTCGTCCTGCACACTGGTCTCCCCTGATGATCTTGATCGATGCGGGGCACGCGCGGGATCCACAGACCTTCAGGTACATGCTGGCGCGTTTGCTACAGGAGACCAGTTTGACGACCATCGAGGCCAGGGGTGCCAATGGGACTTCTGCCTTGCACATGGCGACGAGCAAAGGCATGTTCAACGCCACCAAGCAGATCCTGTACGCTGTGTACAACAAAAGCAGGGCAGACTTGGCGGCCTTCGGCCTGGTTACTTCCATGCTGAACACGCCAAATGGTCGCGGTGCTGGCTGCGTTTCTGGGTTAAGGTTATTAATTGGGTTATATTGTTTTAGTTTTGGTTGTGTTGTTTCTTTTTTTGACGGTGTCGATGCAGCAGTTTGAAATTTGCAGGTTGATCTGGCACTGCGGTGCAACGTGGATTTGGCCATGTACCTGCAGAACCAGTGGAACGCACGTCCTCTTCTCCCGCCACGTGCGGGGTATCGCAGCCGGGATTCCAACACACAGTGGTTGGAGAAGAACCCCTGGTACAGCAGGGACAGGGATTTGTGAGCAGGCCTCTGGCCAGGCTGGATATGCGGGGAACGGTCTCACAGCTTTCTCAGACCATAGACGCCTTTGCCCCGTAGGCCTGTTTTGCGGGCAGCACAAGCAAATCAATATTAGGTCATATATGAGTATTATTGGAATTGTCGCATTGTTTTGCACATTTTTAATCAGTAGAGCATGTGTATCTGAAACTTGTGCTGTGCAGCCTTGTGGCCTGGTTTTGCAGAGCGTCCCGCGTCCAGCCGACTTCCTCTGGCAAATTGCCAGATCTTCCGCTTGCGAGCGTGAAAAAAAGCGTGAGTGAGAATGCAGAGGTTTTTTTCAGTTGTGTTTTTTTAAAGGTAGAAAGTTCAACAACTGCAGTTTTCAGTTTCATCAAAGAATGGTGCTGGTTGCTTCTTTGTTTCCCTGTCAGGACCGCCTTGCCACATCTGCTCCGGGTGCTGCGCTAGCAGACTGGAGTCCGTGGATCGAGCGGCGGCCCTTTTTCAAGAAGTTTTTCTACATGCGCTGACAATCCCGGCGTTGAATAAGTGGACGACTGTAGCGCCGTCTATGACCTTGGTCGCAGCGATGCAGCAGTGCTACGACGTCGTCCCGCAGGCCTTTGGTCGGTGTTTTGCACGCGGCCAAGCAGAAGAGTCCAGCGACGACTCTGGGGGTGAAGACGCTGCATTGGGGGTTCCCAGAGACCAGACAAAACAATGGAGGAAGCTAGCTAGAAAGAGGCAACAGAAGGCCGCCTTCTTTTTGCAGGATCAAGAGTCCCGTTTCTTGACAATGCTCTGGGGCATTGTGACGTTCTGCGTCATGACCGTTCACTACTCCTTGTTCAAGCGGGGAACTTGGCTCACAGAGCGCGTTGAAGATGAGACAGACGCAAACCTTTCATTTTTTTTTAGCAACCCAGCAGCCAGTCCAGCTGCCCGAGCCAGTTCTGAGATCGCTTCGCTGTTGGACTCTGTCCAGGTTGACGCCTGGATTCCTTTGGTTGGTTTGTATGGGCCTCTGCTCTCGTGGCCGCAGAGGAGGTTGCGAAGCACCAGGCGCTGCTTGCTTACGGAGGTTGGCCAGCTGTACAGGAAGTTGCTTGAACCATGGAAACGTTACCCCTGGAAGCTCGTGGAATTGCCACTGATGGAAGAGGCCATGAGGTTTCAAGCTGCACAAGATTTCTTTCGGGTCCGTGACTGCTGCCTGGATGGCTTCAGTGCAAAGCTCAAGACAGTGGTGGAGGATCCTCGTGGCCTGGTGGCTGCCAAAACTTTGAAGTTTTTAGCCTCTGTCTTTGACCGGTTGGTGCCAACGTCCACCTGCATTGAGCGGGCTTTTGCTAGACTAAGCAGATGGTGTGACCGTAAGGGGCCGAAACCTCAACTGTCCACGCTTGCCGCAAAAAATGCTGTGTATCATTTTCGACACCTGACAGATCACTGGCGGGCCAAAGCTCGAAAGCTTGGTGTTATCCGCAAAGGCAAGAGTCACCGATGTAGGCCTGACTGGGCCCATGGTGTACGCAAAGGACGGTGTCGCAATGGGTTGCACATGTTTGCCAGAGAAAATGGTTTGAATCCTTCCGATGATTTGGCTCGTCAGTGGCGCTTGCAGCCTCGTGCAGAGAGGAGGCGCTTTGCCGCGCTGGCTAGAGCTGCTAACTTGCAGGCAAGAACTTTGCAGAGGTGCGACGCAAGGGCTGCCCAAGAGTCTGCTGCCCTTACTGGCGGCTTTTGGAATATGAGTGCAAGCACTGGCTTCCCAATGGCCAAATCGATCGTTGCAGAACATCTGCATTCTCTGAAAGATTATGCCAGAAATTTCCGCGTTTCCACTGATTCGCTGCTTCCTGAGAGCCCAAATAGTTTTGCTGGCGCACCAGCAGTGCCCTTTTCATTGTGGGCCTCGTGCCAGGTTGGAGCTTGCCCTCATGAACTGACGGCCCCCCAGCAAGAATGCTTCTGGTCTTTGCATGAAATGTTGGTGCTAGTGATTGGCAGCCAAAGCCCGGATCCCACGGTTGCATCAAAGGAGCCGCTTGTTCTGGAATTTTGTTCTCAGAGAGCTGCGGCGTCCCGCCAAGTTGTTGTTGCTTACAACACGCGGAAGAAACCCATTGATGCAGCGCTCATCGCTCTGCGTCCGCTCCCTCCATCTGAAGTTCCGCATCAGTTTCTTCAAAGTTTGGCATGCGAGACAGGCGTAGATGGACAATTTCCTTTGGTCGGGGACGTGCCAATGTGTGTCGAGCTGGCAAGCCAAGCGACTGATTGGGAGTTGTTTGTTCTCTCTGTTGGTCCTATCACAGACCTTCATCTCTTCCATATTGTAGCTGCTAAGCGTGTAGATTTCGTAGCCCTGATGCTTGAAGTTGGAAGCGCCAGAGAGACCAAAAAGGCTTTAGATGCTTTGAAAAAAATGGAGAAGAAAAAAATGGCTGCAAGCCAATCCAGCAGCCATAGGGCAGGTGGAGAGCGGCAGGGACCGAGCAAAGGACGTGGCAAGGGCAAAGCTGCCAAAGGCGCAATGGAGAGAGCAAACAGACCAGACATGCATGGAGATCGTGACGACGCGCTTGATGACGGAGGCTCTTCGCAGTCGGACGAGGACTCTGTTGCTGATGTAGACGATGCTGAGGTTGACTTGTCGCTTGACCCTCCTCCTTCCTGCCCGCCTCTGGCGTCGGTTGCTCCACGACGCCGCAACGTGAGACGCGGTCATGTTTGGGGCTCCAGCCCAGCATTTCAAATCGCTCCCATCCATGCAGCAGGCAGTGCGGAGCCCACAGGATTTGGTGCGATTTGCGGCATGCACCATGACTCCGCCAACCCAACGCTGCAGTGCAAAAAAGCCATGTCTTGCGGAGGCCTGACCCCTGAGGAGTGCAAGCTTCGTTTGAAGCGCTGGCTTGTCGCCGGGTTGGATTCCGGCAGGTGGGGCGCCAACAAGCGAGAGAGCCATGTTAGCATGGGCGGCGTTCAGCTGTCCCATTTCGCTGAAGGCCTGAGTTTGGAAGACTTAGACAGAGCGGTGAGCCATCAGGAATAAAAAGGTTGCTTTTGTCAGCCTGCCTCAGCAGCCGTCAGCGTGCCCACAATCAATCACACGACATATGATATATTATATAATATATATATATATATATAATATATGTTTGCGCTTCAATTTCTACACAGCAAATGTTTGTAACAAAAATGGTAACGATAAATAAATAGACTAGATAAATATTTAAGAAAAAAATAAATAATTTATATATTTTGATAATATTTTAATGTTTTTGTCAAAACAATCGTAGAATGTTTTGTTTTTTATTTTCCGTACACAAATGTAGTTTTCCGTACACAAAACCTACTTTTCCGTACCCAAAATGTACTTTCCCGTACACAAAAACCCGTCAAAACATTTTGAAAAATAATTATAAATATATATGAATATATATAAAATATTATAAAATCATTTCTCTTTTTTTACAAATTATGTTCCAAATGTTTACAAATATACCCCAAATATTGTTCTAATTCTCTTAACATGTTTGCATTTATGTCACTGCTTTTGTGAGCGCGTCAAGATTGTTTCTTTGCTTGTCTCGCCTCTGGCGTTGTTCACACCGCGCTCCTTGTAGCCCTGTAGGCCCAAATAATTGACGTGAAATAATCTTTGGGGATTTTCTCGCCATGTCTCCTGACGCGGAGTCAGTGTCTTCTTCTTCGTCTTCCAGCTCAGATGAATCCGGCGCTCCTCCACCTCCGCCTTCGTCTGTGGGTTCGTCGGGTGGCGCTTTGAGGGTGTCCTATACTTCCAGAAAGTCTCGTCACTGCACCCTGTGCAATGCCAAGTCCACTGACCAGTCACCTCTGGATTATTCGGAGGATATTTTTCCAGAAGTGCAGGGAAGAATCCCGTGGAGATCTTACGAGAAGGTCAAAATGGATGACGGAGAGCAAGTTCGTGTGCCCTCTGGAAAGCTTTGCTTGATTTGCTTCAACGTCTACAGAGCCCTCGGTTTCTTTGCCGCATGCTTATCACCTCGCCTCTGGCGTTGTTTCCAGCTTTTCACATTCAGACAGGTTTCCATGGATGGAGGCAGCTTTTGTTTCGTACAGTGTAGTAATTTGTTACTGAAACTGTAGCCGTAAATGTTTTCTTCATTGCAGCTAAGGTTTGCAGGCCACGTACAAGAAAGTTGAAGACTACTTCAACTGGGTCTCCGTGAGAAAAAATCAGGCCGAGCACGTTTCGTTCCTAAATGCAAGAAAGGATTGGATCAAGCAGCACAATGAAGGAGGACCCGACTGCAAGAGATTGCAGAGCAAGAAGTCCCTTCTTGAAGCCAAGAAGACCCTCAACGTTGTGCGCAACGTGGGCGGTCGGTTTATCGCTCCCAAGAAGAAGTTTGTGGAGAAGGACAATTGGAATGAAAAAGAGCACGGAGTCTTGGACCCAAACAAGGTCGTGACCGAACATATTTTCGGCAAAGAAATTCAGAGCTGCTGGATCTTGAAAGGGAAGAAAGGTGAATACGATTTTGAAGAGTACCAAGACACCGCTCTGCAAGAAAAAGAGCAATTGCACAATTCAGCAGATGCTCCCTTTTCTGAAGAAGCTTTGGGCCGCAAACGCAAAGCCATGATGGACGAGTTCGTGGAAAGCTCCACTACGAGAGACAAGGCCAGTGTGGAAGGCCAAGAATTGTCCATGCAAGGTTTGCTTGCAGCCATCCAAATGGGACATGATCCATCTTCTGGTTCCACTGGTGAGGCGGTTTCCACCGTTTCCGCCTCCGGCGAGGTTCAAAGCCATGAAGCAGAAGAGGAGTCCACCAGCGACTGCGCGTCAGAAGAGGAAGAGGCCCGCCCAAGCCTTTCGTTCGCCCCCCGACCGCCGAAGGCCAAAGCCCATGGCAAGCCTGCGGCGAAGCCTCAGGCTAAAGGAAGCACGCAGCCGTCCAAAGCTCCAAGTTCTTCTGTCGTGCCTGTCCCTGCACCCAGTGCGCCAGCCGCCAAGAAGACCACCAAGACAGAGCCTGCTCCCAGCAAAGTTCCCAGCAAAGGGACAAAAGCTTTGCAACAAAGCGGCAGCGACCAAAGCTTAGAGAGCGCAGCGACGCTGCTTGCAGACGGTCGGGCCCAGAGGGCCTTGAAGAATTTGCAGGAGAGTGTTGCCAAATGGAAGTCCCAGCTGGCAGACATTCGGGTCGACGATGCGCCTCCTGCGCCTGATGCCCAGGCTCAGACCAAATTTAAGCAAGCGTGCATAGACAGAGCCAATGTTGCCAAGGCCTTGGCCCGGCAAGCCCGAGACTATGGCAAGCGCATGGACAAGAGTTCCAACAAGGACAATTTCTTAGGGGAGCTCGAGGAACTGCAAAAGGTGGAGTTTGCTGCTGTGGCTGTCCAGGCCTTGTTTCAGATAGCTGGTGCGCAGAATTCAGCTCCAACTGCTGTTGTCAAAGCCTTTGAGGATGCCAGCGAGCATGTTGATCTCTTAGGCTGCAACGCTCTCGGAGCAGGTTTCCAACTCAAGTACGCTTTTGCAAAGGCGGGCTCGCATTGTTTGTACCAGGAGTACGAAAAGTATTGCGCCGCCTTCTTGGGGTCTTCTGAGTTGATGAAGGGCCTTGCCGAGAACATTGGCCAAGATAGTCTGCAGAACCACGTCATGGCAGAAATGGAAGGCCGCCTCACTTTGGCTTTGAGGACCATTAAGCCAACCGACGTCCAAGCTGTTGTCAATGGTCTTGAGGAGCCCTCCAATCTTCAAGAGTGCGCTGATCTGTGCAAAGCGGTCATGGACGTCGGTCAGAAACATGGCTCTGACTTTTTGGCTTCTGGCCTTGGCAAAGCTTGCACGATTGCCTTTGGCATAGTTAGTTCTGCAGATATTGAAGTAACCAATGACGCCCTCAAAGAGATTCAGTCATTCAGGGAGGGCGACGCAAAGGATGAAAAGCCAGGAGCTATTATGGTTTATTTCCTGGAGCACACAGTTGGTAAATCCTTAGTGGATTTGGCCACTGGCCGGGTTGGAGCTGGGGAGACCGAAGCAGTTGCCACTGAACACCTCAAGACCTTGCAAGGAGAAGTGTCCAAATTGCAATCAGTGTGCTACGCAGGCTCAGTTGCCGGTGTCCAACTCATTTCTGCCGATTTGGAACCAGTAGACAAGCTTATTGGTGATTGCCAGAAAAGCATCGCATGTCTGAAGAGCGGCAAGGACACCAAAGGCAAGAACGCAAAACATGAGAAGGCAGACGCAGCAGAGAGCAAACAACGACATCGAGCGCATGATCGCCTGGTGGAAGCTTTGAATGAATACAAGGCCTCTTTCGCAGAGCGGGCGCGGGAACTTTTGCTGCAGGAGTTGAAAGCAAACCTTTCTGAGCAGTTGCTCCTTGGACTGGAAAACAGCTCTACGTTTTGAGTTTGTGCTTTGAACTGCCCGGGACACAAGTGACTCAAGTCTCTTTGTCATTGATATATATTGATATATAGAATCATATAGACATATACTAAGAGGTCATGCACGGTCTGTGGGGTATTTTCTTTCCCTGCGAAGGCAGACATGAAGTCGTAGTCCGCCTTCAGCGAACTATTCAAAGTCCCATGGTATTCCGAAAACTAATGTAATATTGTAAATCACATCATATCACTAAGTATCCAGTATACTCCAGCCTATTATCAGAATGCAAAAGCCTTTGGCATAGTTGTAATCTTAACCTTTCACAGACCCCGGTATTATATGAGTAGAAGGGCGTTCTTTTTCTCAACGTGTGACTTTGAGGCGTCATCTCTGCAATGCTTTGGACAGTGACTGCATGGTCACAGAAGAAGGCACTGGACAAAAAGCGCAGCTGATCGATTTGGAAGAGATCTGGCCATGCTTGAAGCACACAGCCGTCATTGCCCATTCGTTTTGGGCTACTTCGACGGCCTCTGGTCAAGTTAGCAAGGTGCTGCAGGATTACGAAAGCTTGTCAGTTCAGTTGTGTTCCATGGCCAAGTTTGTCTTTTTCCAAAGCCCGAAGTTCAAGGGAAATGCAAAGCAGCAAGTGGATGTTAGCGCTACGGATCTGAAAAGCTGGGTGGAAAAGCTTCCAGAAAAGTTGCTTGAATGGGTTGGCGCTGATTTGACCACCTCTATGAGAGTCACATTCTTGTCTGTTTGTGAAGAACACCAGCGCTCATTGTTTTCAGCAGGATTAGATGCCGTCGCTGACGTGGTTAAGAAATGCGTTGGTGGACCGCTGCCTGCGTGTGATAATCTCCTGCAGCAGCAGCTGCTGATGAAAATTCCGAAAGCGCATAGCCTCAAGCCTGTCGTCACAGCGTTTCTCAAGGCGTTTTCCCTTTTTCTGTCAAGTTATGGTACGCGAGGGGTTTTTGTGTCACAGAAATGAAATGGACATCGGGTCAAGTTTTCAGGTCAGGCTGTGCTTTCAAGCTAATTCACCAGCAGCCTGTATTGTCTGCAGTGTGCAGTAAATAACTTTTTGATAACTTATACACAGATAACACTTAACTTACACTTATATATATATATGTGTGTGTGTGTCATGTGTGATGTTTGGTTGCAACGCGTAGTCTTTTTTCAGCATGTCCTCTGCTCCTCTTTTTCCCCAGAAGAGCGTGTTTGCAGGTTGTGGGCCATGAAGGAGGCACCGATGACAAGCACAAGGAGGTGGTGGACCTGCATTCAACAGGCAATCTTCTTTGTGATGCTTTCGGTTTGCAACCGAATGAGGCGGATTTTGAGAAGAGCTGCTTGAAGGATGCGGTTCCTTGGCTGGAGGGTGTTGCTAAAAAGCTTGCAAGATATTTTCTTCAGAAGTTCGAAGACGCGACCGCCAAGTTGAACGCCGGTGTGAAGAAGGTGATTGCAATCAAGATGCCGAGCTTGGACATGGAGGACGAGTACCGGAAGCAGGGCGTGAGAGTTGTGGGTACCCTTGCTCAGCTCACGGCTGCGGTAGAGGACGACATCAAGACTTTAAGGGATGTGCGACAAGCCCTGTCCAACCTGAAAGGCATCAAGTTCGCTCCGCAAGGGAAACCTCCAGCTGTGGAAGAGATATGCGCTTTCCAAGCAAGGTTTCAGGATCCTTTTGCTCCGGCAACTTACGAGCTTGATGCTGGCAAGCATGCAAAAGAAGCATCCTTCCATGTGGCCGCAGTGGCTGCGTGTTGTGCTTGCTTCGGAGTGACGCCATGAAAAAGGCAGACAGTAAGACTACCAAGCAGGTCGCAGACGTTGCTGTTACTTTGCGGGGCAAACTGGAGCTCGTGGCAGAAGATTCTGCGGATCTCAAGACAGCCGGCAAGCGATTGCTCGAGGAGTGTGAGAAGTACGGAAAAGTCTCGCCAAGGGCAGCGAAAGCCAAGGCGGCGACAGAGACTAGCCACAGCTCGGCATCCAAGAAGTCGCGAGTCGCTGAGGCACAGGATGCCGGCAAGAACGTCAACAAGGAGGAAGCGTCCAAGAATGCGACAGACACTCAGAGCACACCGCCGCCAGAGAAGGCAGCTGCAATGGATTCTATCCCAGTTGCAGAAGAAGGCGCTGAGAACCCGGAGAAGAAGCCGGAGGAGACAAAAGAAAGCAACATAGAAAAGGACAAAAAGGAGAAGGAAGAGAAAAAGGAGAAAAAGGAGAAACAGGAAAAAAAGGAGAAGAAGGACAAGAAGGACAAAAAGGAAAAGAAAGAAAAGAAGGAAAAGAAAGAAAAGAAAGAAAAGAAAGCAAAACGCGACAAGAAAGACAAAAAGGAAGGAGACAAGAGTGGCAAAAGGAAAGGGAACAAGGAAGAGAGCCTCCAAGCAGGAAAGGCAAAGACGGCAAACAAGAAGGGAAAACCGCTGGCGGTCAGCCCCAAGAAGAAGCCTTTCGCAGCGCGGCAGGCTCAGAAGATGAGCCCTTCGAGCAAGGCAGAAGGGCGTGGCCGTGGGCGTGGGAAGGGCCGCGGCCGAGGCCGAAGTCGAGCGACAGGCCAAGCAGAGGACGTGGAGTAGATGATGGCCTCTGGCTTGGTTTCCGTCTTCGACTCGCCAGCCCGAGCTCTTCAGCACCGCCGCCGATGATCCATGCTGAGAGTTTTGATCATAGCCTAGCTTAGACTTTTGAAACAACAGGGATGCGATTGAAACAGTTTGAGCTGCCGCGGCGCCGCGCGGGACGAGTTGGAATAAGCCCTCAGCTCTTAGATTTTAATCTAAGTTGGAATGAGTTTGGAAAACCAACTCGCTTCTATTTTCCTTTGTTGAATAGCTCATGAATGACTCATGACTCATGAACATGTGGCTCCACCAGCAGCCGGCTTTGTTTTGATTGCTTTCGCTGTGATGTATTCACCGAGAATCTCCACTTTGATACAGTAGGCAAAAAACGTAGCAATGGCAATGGCAATGGTGTATCAAATTTACATCATGACGTAATTGAATCCAAACTAAGCATGAATTGAGCCTTTCTGCTGTCGTACCTGCCATGGAGCAGCCGTTCGACTCACCCCAGTCTCCGCCTCACAAAAAGGCGCGCGCGCTCCGGAAGGAAAACTCAGCCGACGCATCATTGATCCTGTCGGCTTCCAGCCGGGTTACTGAGGCATTCAATGTTGTTGAAGGCACGCTGCTGCCAACTCTGGCCAGGGAGAACCTGCAAGGCTTCAAAGCCGTGTTGCCGCGAAATCATCCGTTGGCCCTAGGCTTTGTTGGTGGAGAGCAAACCCGAGCAATGGATGATTTGGAGTTGACCTGGGGGTCTTGTTGTTCTGGCAGCGAGGGCGTCCACTATGTAGTGGAAGCATGTGCCCAGGCCATGGAAGAGACAGGTTTGCCAGTCACTTTCCAGCACGCGTTCTCATGTGAAAGCAACAAGGCCAAACGATCCTGGATTGCTGATGTCTTGTGCAAGGGACAAGTGTTCAACTCTGACATGCACGAAACCTTTGCTACTCATGCAGAAGTTGGCTGCATCTTTGAAGATATCAAGGATATGGGCAGTGAAATGAGCAAGTGCAGCCTACATGGAAAGGAGTGCCCAGTTCCTTCGGTTGATTGCTTGTTTATAGGAACGAGCTGCAAGGACTTGTCCAGAGCCAACAGCTCCGTAGACAAAAGCAAACTGGTTTTGTCGCAGGAAAGCAGCAGAGGAGCCTCTGCGCAAACCTTTCGAGGCATGCGCAAACCTTTCGAGGCATGCTCAGTTATTGCCAGGGTCACAAACTGACGTTGGTTTTGTTTGAAAACGTGGACGCAATAGATGACAAAGTTTCCAGCAACACTGAAACAAACCTTTCACTGCTCATGAACGCCATGAAGGAACTGGGCTATGAGGGCCAAAAGATCATGACTGATGGCCAGGAATTTGGGCTTCCTTGCCGACGTCGAAGGCTCTATGTGATGTTCATCGACAAAGAAAGCAGCAAGGTAGACACACAAACCAAAACCTTGAGCCAGATCTTTTCAACTTTGCGGACTCTGGTGACTTCTTGCATGCGGTCGCCGCCTTGTTCCAAGGAGTGCTTGCTGAGCCCGTCAGAACCAGATCACTTGGAACTCTTGGAGAAAGCTTTGGGGGAGCACCAGAAAAGCGCGCAAAAGGCTGCCGAGAAGAAAGCACCTCCACAAACATGGCTTGACAGACACATGGCCTATGCAGATGATTTGGGTTATCGGTGGGGGTCTGCCGTGGATGAGGAGCTGGCAGGCAATAAATGGTACCAAACTTTGTCCAAGCGGGAGGCAGATGCCTTGGTTTTGTCTAGGGTTGCCGATCCAACGTGTGAATTCCGCAATGTGAGCCAGAGCGTGGGCCGTATCAACTCAGTTAGCCAGATTGACAACAAAGGAAAAGAGGTCGCGCCGACCATGTTGCCTGGACAATTGATGTGGGTTGAGTCCCAACAGCGCATACTCACAGGCTACGAGGCGTTGATCTACCAAGGTTTCCCTATCTTATTATATCTGGCAAAGGCTCGAAGTTTGCCACCCGCTTGCAATTCGCAAAGCTTTCTGACTGACATCGCGGGCAATGCGATGGCATTTCCTGTGGTTCTGGCCATCTTCCAAGCCACGTTGGCCTCTGTGCCCTGGTTGCCTGCGCATGACAGTGAAGATGAGGATGATAATGATGAGAATCAGGAGGAAGACGCGGCTGATGTTGAGACAGCTTTGGCGGCCTTGGCCCGTTTGCAGAGATAGGCCTCTGGCCGGGTTTTGCACCAAGGTCTCACCCCAAGATTTGCGGCCGCTATACAAGAAAAAGTTGGGAACTTGCTTGCGGGTGGCCCTGTGTGATGTTGGGGACTGGAAAGAAGTTGGGTGGATGGTTGAAAGTTTTTTGTTTTTTCAAGGCTGGGTTTTTGACGTGTGATTGCCGCGTGTTGACTAAATACTAAAGACTAAAGTCATATGATTCATATGATTGAGATCTGTAGACACAACAACATCCAACAATCCGTTGAAGTGCGAATAGTTCCTGTTGTTATTGTGGGCAGTTGTTAGAAAATGATCGCACTTTTTGAATGATAACAGAAAGTAAAACATGCAACAATACCAGATTTATGCATGCCTTGCGAATGAACAAAACAGCGTCACCACAGAAAGAACGCACATTTTTTGATGCGGAAAAATGAAAATTGTTTGTTTCAGATAACACAGCCGAACAATTTTCAAAACAAAACCAAATCTTCACATTCCAAACGATCATGAAAACATTGAAACATTTTTCTGAATATTTTTTTGAAATTTTGAACAAGTTTAAAACATCTTAAAACAATTTTCCGAAAAAACAAACAATATCAAAACAATTTTAAAACAATTTCATTTTATTTTCAAACAATTTTAAAACCAATCAAAACAATTTTAGAACAATTTTAAAACAATATTTATTTTTTCATTTTATTTTAAAACAATCTCCGAACAATTATGGAAATTTAAAACAATTTTAAAACAATTTTAGAAACAATTTTTAATAATTCAAACAATTTTGGACATTCCCTGGGGGCTCCGGAACCTCAGCATTTCTAAAAACACCTAAGCTATGATGATTTACCCATTTACCATGATTTGCCCGCTAAAAACATGCGTTTTCCCATAACATAGCTATGTCAGTAGTTCTCATGATAAAATCAACTATAAACTGGTATTTCTGATGGGTAAATCAACATAAATCAACTATTTCTATGGCCATTTTCTATGTCGCAAACTGTTCACTTTCCAGATGGTCAATCCGACAAAATCCCCCCGTTTTCGGAAGCCCAAAAAGAAGTGAGGCCAAGGACAACCAGACCGCCAGCAAGGCCGTACAGCTACTTGGACAAGTCCTTTGTGGGGGATTTTATGGTGATTTCTGAGCGCAAAATGGCGAGTTATGGGGAGATATGGTACCCTCTGGTAAATTAACAGTTGGACCCTGAAAATCACAAATTTTTAGAGGAAACTAGTCTTCCAACCCCGATGACTACCAGGGTCTATGTTAATTTACTGGAGGGTAATTAAAATGGTGATGGGAAGAGGAGAGAAGTTAAATGATGGGAAGCCTAGTTTTGAGGAAAATTCATGCAAAACTGTGCAAAATAGAGATGTCATGGAGATATAGCAAGAGATTTGGGGTTACAATGGTGGTATGATGGGGATTATAGGAAGGATGTACAGTACTGGCGATATGTTGGGAGATTGTGGACTATGATGGTGATATAATGGAACATAATGGGATATAAACCAACAAGAATAAGGATACCCTTAGGCGATTTGTTGCAGTTTGGTACCTGAAATCACAATTGTTTAATCATGTTTAATCGATAAATTATCGAACTAAATGGGCCATGGGTTCCATATCGCTATGTGAAATTACTGGGTGCTATGGTTTTTTTGAAGCTGATGGAATGTGAAATAGGATATCATATGATATCATGATATGATGGGATTTCAATGGGATTTCAATGGGATTTCAATGGGATTTCAATGGATTCGATCGCCACTGGACCCTGTGCGGTGTGCTGCCATGCAGCAGTACTGGTCTTCCCAAGAGCGAAAATAGAAGCAGTTTGGTAGGGGATTCAACCAAGCACAAAGCAAAGACCCTCTGGTAAACTACCATGACATACCATAACTATTGAAACTCACCAGTGTTTTTTTAAATCAACTATAACTGGGCCATGTTCTATAGCTATATTGTTAAATTACCAGAGGGTAAACTTTGGTTGTTGGCTTCAAGTTTCAGTTCCATCATACTTGGGGTGACACCCAGTCTCTGACATTATTTTGAGGGGTTGAAATCCTTGAGGCTCACTTTGTTGTTGATCGTTTCTCTGTCGAAGCGTGCGATTGGCTGTGGGCTATCCAGCTTTGACTCCTAGGTGTTGGGCCCACCTGTGTCAGTATCGGTGGATCCCCGCATGACCTGACCTTTCTGGGACGAGGTTCCGACCGCCAACCCCAACAGCATCAAACGGTTTTTTCCCCACATCTTTGTGTGGGGTTCTTGTTTTTGATTCTGTATCCCGGGCTCCTCCTCCGCCGCCTTCTCCTCCTCCGCCCTCCTCCACACTTTGTCACCATACACTTTGTCAACAAACACTTTCTCAACACACACTTTTTTATCACCACACACTTTGTCCAACACACACTTTATCAACAAACACTTTATCAACATACACTTTATCAACAAACACTTTATCAACATACATTTTTTTTCTCAACATACATTCAACATACACTTTATCAACAAACACTTTATCAACATACATTTTCTCAACATACATTTTCTCAACAAACACTTTGTCAACACATACTTTGTCACCACACACTTTGTCCACACACACTTTGTCCACACACACTTTGTCACCACACACTTTCTCAACAAACACTTTGTCAACACATACTTTGTCACCACACACTTTGTCCACACACACATTGTCCACACACACTTTGTCACCACACACTTTCTCAACAAACATTTTGTCAACACATACTTTGTCACCACACACTTTCTCAACAAACACTTTGTCAACACATACTTTGTCACCACACAAACTCACATCCACCGTCACAAACTCACATCCACCTTCGTTTCACTTGGCAGGCGTGGCACAAACTCACATCTACTGTCGTTTTGCGTGGCAGGCGTGGGACAGATGGCATTGGGTGGCGCGCTTGGACGGGCTTGGGCGCCTGTGACGCCGCGGCACTTTGCGTGGCAGGCATGGCACAAACTCACATCTACTGTCGTTTTGCGTGGCAGGCGTGGGACAGATGGCATTGGGTGGCGCGCTTGGACGGGCTTGGGCGCCTGTGACGCCGCGGCACGTTGTGTGGCAGGCGTGGCACAAACTCACATCTACTGTCGTTTCACGTGGCAGGCGTGGCACAAACGCACATCTACTGTCGTTTTGCGTGGCAGGCGTGGGACAGATGGCATTGGGTGGCGCGCTTGGACGGGCTTGAGCGCCTGTGACGCCGCGGCACGTTGCGTGGCAGGCGTGGCACAAACTCACATCTACTTCGTTTCACGTGGGCAAGGCGTGGCACCAACCACATCTACGTCCGGTTTTGCGTGGCAGGCGTGGGACAGATGGCAAACTTGGGTGGCGGCGCTTGGACGGGCTTGGCGCCTGTGACGCCGCGGCACTTTGCGTGGCAGGCCGTGGCACCAACGCACATCTACTGTCGTTTTGCGTGGCAGGCGGTGGGGGACAGATGGCATTTGGGTGGCGCGCTTGGACGGGCTGGGCGTCCTGTGACGCCGGCGTCACGTTGTGTCAGGCCGTGGCACAAACGCACTCTACGTCGGTTTCACGTTGGCAGGCATGGCACACGACATCTACTGTCGGTTTGCGTGCAGGCGTTGGACAATGGCATTGGGTGGCGCGTTGGACGGGGCTTGGGGCGCCTGTGGACCGCCGCGGCACTTTGCGTGGCAGGCGTGGCACAAACTCACATCTACTGTCTTTTCAACGTGGCAGGCGTGGGACAGAATGGCATTTGGGTGGCGCGCTTGAGGGCTTGGGCGCTTGTAACGCCGCGGCTCTTTGTGTTGTCCAGGGCGTGGCACAACTTCACATCTATCTCTCCGTTTTGCGTGGCAGGCGTGGCACAAACTCACATCTACTGTCTTTCACGTGGCATGCCGTGGCACAAACGCACTCTATGGCATTGGTGGCGCCGCTTGGACGGGCTGGGCGGCCTTGCGCCGCGGCAACTTTTGCGTGCAGGCGTGGCACAAAACTCACAAATCTCCGTCCCGTTTCACGTGGCAGGCATGGCACAAACTCACATCTACTGTCGTTTTGCGTGGCAGGCGTGGGACAGATGGCATTGGGTGGCGCGCTTGGACGGGCTTGGGCGCCTGTGACGCCGCGGCACGTTGTGTGGCAGGCGTGGCACAAACTCACATCTACTGTCGTTTCACGTGGCAGGCGTGGCACAAACGCACATCTACTGTCGTTTTGCGTGGCAGGCGTGGGACAGATGGCATTGGGTGGCGCGCTTGGACGGGCTTGAGCGCCTGTGACGCCGCGGCACGTTGCGTGGCAGGCGTGGCACAAACTCACATCTACTGTCACATCTACTCTCGTTTTGTGTGGCAGGCGTGGGACAAACGCACATCTACTGTCGTTTTGCGTGGCAGGCGTGGGACAGATGGCATTGGGTGGCGCGCTTGGACGGGCTTGGGCGCCTGTGACGCCGCGGCATGTTGTGTGGCAGGCGTGGCACGAACGTTCACCTACTGTCGTTTCACGTGGCAGGCGTGGCACCAACTCACATCTACTGTCGGTTTGCGTGGCAGGCGTGGGACAGATGGCATTGGGTGGCGCGCTTGGACGGGCTTGGGCGCCTGTGACGCCGCGGCACTTTGTGTGGCAGGCGTGGTCCTTCCGGCATGTTTTCTTTCGTCCTTGGTGACCGGCATTTTTCTTTGTCTTCGTCCTCGTTGCTAATGCTTCGGCATGTTTGCCTTTTGGCATTTTAAGAAACTTTCTTCTGTCGGCTTTCTACGTGCTTCGGCATGTTTTGCTTGTGGCATGTTAAGTTTGTGTCATTTATCTGTGTCCATGGAATAAGCCGGCTTTCGCCGAAATCTGCGAGGCTATTCAGCATGCAAGCGTATAAAGTCTATACGTAAGCTTTCCTATCTGCTGTTTTGGCTGCCGGCATTGTTGATTCAATGTGGAAAGACATGCCAAGCAGCTGACATTGGA